CCCCCCCTCTCCTCCTGTGTATAACTTTACCCTCGTGTCTGATCCCCACCGTCCGATGTGGCTCTTCCGGGTTCTCTCATCCGCCTTTTTCCTGTCCGTGACCGTTTCTTCCATCCCTCTGGCCTTCGATGTAGGTGGAAAGACATGCGGTCTGGCCTTTTCTCTATCTCTGGCCATCTTTTATTTCCTGTTTTCCCTCCTGAAACTCACCACCCCCGAACGCTCATGGCTACGTGCCTCTTTGATCACCATTATTCGATCAACTCAATGGATCATAATTCCGGTCTTGTTGATTTGGTCGCTGAACCGCTTTTCGATCGATGCAGATAACACAACAGGATGGGCGGAACGGACTTTTACCGGGAAGCGAGCGCAGAACACGTCTGTTCAAGAATGGCTGTTTGGACCTGGTGGGATGGTGGAGTCGGTAACTATAGGAAACTGGGACAAACTCTTGCGATGGTCGACGCCGGTCTTCCAGCTTGTGGAAGGGTTTTGCAGCTTGTTGGTGATACAAGCTGCAGGGCAGATCACTCGCTGGCTTGTCAACCGAGGTGGTCGCAGTGATAGCTGGATGGTACGTATCTGTCTTCACTTCTACTCACTCCTGCGTCTTCATCCTTGTTCTGTTGTTGCATGAGACCTAAGTAATGATCTGGCAGATCGGCCTCCTGGTGTTCTCCGGGTCCGCTATCTCGAGCGCAGTATACTTTCTCTGGCGCGTTTTACAGTTCCCTGAGATTTCTAATGTAGATGCCGCCTTAATTGGGGTGTCGATCACATGTGCGGTGATATTGTGCGCGTGGGGAATTGGCAGTGGCCGTGGGAATCCAGTGGAGAGCTCCCTACTGTTCGCATATATCGTACTGTGCATCTATCAGATATTCACAGATTACCAACCTTCTTATCCTGTTGAACAGGTTCCCTCGCCGGCGCAAGCCGGGGACTTCCCCCCACTACCGCCGATTTTCATGGCCTCCTACACCACTTTGCTGCACGCCCTGTCTCTTTTGCCCTCCATTATCCATGCAGCCTTCAATGTGATTTCTGCGGTCTTTGGCGCCGTAACCCCCTCTGTCCTGATTTCACTCGCATACCGTATCTGTGTGCTGTATGCATCCACTCGGATTATCCCTGCTGTCCGTGAATCAGGTGCACGCGCTCTCTCACAGGAAGCCTCTTTGGATGACTCCGATGCCGCTGGCCAGTTCCTGGGTTTCCTCAGCTACTTTTCACCATCAATACTGATTGCGGTTTATACCAGTCTCTTGATGCAACATTTCGCCTCTACTTCTCAGGCGATGGGCGGTAATGGAGAGTGGTGGAGCAGCCAAAGGAGCAGCGGCGGCAATCTTTGGCGATGGGTCAACTTAGCCTGCACTATGGCTTTGTATGCCGTGGAGCTATGGCTTGGCGAAAACGATGATTTGGATTCGGGATTAGCTAGCCATTGGAAGACCGACTGAAAACAGTGTTGGACCGTTTGGTGGCACTATGTCCATTTCACACGCGAGACAGTGCAACCTGGCTTCGACCCGTCGGTGCAGGGGACTTATCTCGTCAATATACTTTCTGAAGTCGGACTAATATCAAGAGTTTCTTTTGAGCACAAACTGTCGGCCGGATACCTATTGAAGGAAATGGCAGGGTCATGGTGTGGCGTAACTCTTGGATATTTTCAGACCAAGTCGGAGCCGGACCAGCACTTTTACGTTCGCGTCCGGTCGGCACGCCATTACCACAGCCCGAAACTCTTGCTTCATCAGGGGAGCCTGAATACACGGCTCATCACAAATATTCTCTCACATCTGAGCCCTGTTGGAATGCCTGACGACGACACCTGTGCGTTCTGACGGTCGTGATGCCCTACAGGTGTCAATAATACCCTTCACAGATCAACCACAAGACGAGAATGTGTATATACCCGCAGGACCATAGTTTGCAAGCATATGTGCTGCGATAAAGCCGGAAATTTTTACACCAGAAGATGCCCATTACAACAGAATCGAATCTGCCTTGTCTTTTCCATGCGCGTTTCTACCTGAACTAGTGACCCTCCTCTTTTCTTTTCCTGGCATTAGCTATATTCCTACTTGGCCTCTCTCGCGTTCACATGATTTGCTGTTCTTCCCTTGCCCTTTTCTTCTGTCTGTGCTCATTTTCTGGCATGTTGGTTTTGCTGATATACCCTCTCGTCGTCCATTGCTTCAGTGATCCCCCACCCACATCTCTCTCTCCCCATTTCTCCCTCTCAGAAAGGCTCTTTTTCTTCCCTTCGCTACTAACAATGGAACCCGTGCTATCAATCTAGGAATTGCATCACTATGCAAATGGTCCTCTATTCATGTACAATGCTGTTTTATGTGGATAGTCAAATTTGATTTTTGTCTAAGGTCAAAGTGGTGGCTTTGTCATCTTCCTTTCCATAGAGCCTCATCGGACCCTTTCATCAGGCATGACTACCTTTCACCGTTTTGACATGTGGCATGTCATAAATTGATTAGCCAGGTGCTGGTTTGCAGAAGTTACTAAGTCTATATTCACGGGTCTTATATATTATTCATCAGTCGTGCATAAACTGTTCGTCTTACTGCCACCACCGGATCAAGAATGAGACAGTTATCGGGATTACGCCCACACCTACTCGGCTGACCTGTCCGGTTGATATAATACTATGGGCTTTTGTGTTGGGAGGTAACATATCATTCTTATAGAGAAAAGTGACTAATGAAGCACACATGGCCGTACATGCGCAAAATATCGGGTAAAAGGGAGGGTGTGAATGCAGGGTACCTAGAGTATGAGCAGTCGTAATCAAAGTAGCATTTTCAGAGGCACTAAGCGTGATGTCGGCAGTGACATGTTCAGATATAGATCAACTTAATGGGTGAGAATGAGTAGTCCCGAGCACGAAGAACATCCCAAAAAAAAAGGTAACCTTGAGATATAAACAGAGAATAATAACAGCACATGTCGAAGCCAAGACACAACTCATGCACAGCAAACTGCGCGAGTATGACTAATGGGAACCAGCCCAAGAAGAATCCATTGCTGCAAGTTTCAAACAGGACTAGAAAGACACCAGTAAGAATAACTGTTTCAGTTAGGGAGTTTTAAGTCACCAGATATACTGGATTTCTGCAGTTGATTTCCAACCCTCTTTCCTTCTAAATTGCACAGCAGTGAAGCACAAGCAACTTGAAACAGCATTTCACGTGTACCAATCCTCACACTCGCTCTCAAAGAAAGGTAAGAAAAGGTTTAGTGGGTAAGGCGAGGGTAGGGTAGCTTCGTGGCTACATCATAGAACACAAAACCATAGCGCCAGGCTTTTTTTATGTGGCCATCACTGGGAAGAGTAACAAAAACCAGAAACATACATGGATGATGATGATGAACAACAGAAGAATAGGGGGGAAATAAGAAGAGAGGATGAGCCAAAGACCCATCATCGCCGGATTGGAACGCCACTGCGAGCAGGGGGCGGACTCACGCTGGGTTCCTTTGTATCTTTAGGTGCAGTGGTATTACCCTCAGACTCATCTGCGCTAGTTCCGCGTTGTAGATAGCTCCCTTCTTTCACCGGGCTGCGGCTTTGAAAACCAATGGAGCCCGGGTGCCCACTGTTGCTGCCAGGAATCTGCTGTCCTTGAGAGTTGGTACTGCCACCATTGCTGGCAGCTGCTGGGTTACTCGCCCCAGGAGAGGTAGCCGTCAAATGAGGAATGTTTTCGGGAACGGGGTGCTGAGAACCAATATTGGTGACACCCACATCAGAGGCTTTGCCGGCCTTGCTCAGGGCGTAGTCACCTGAATCGAAGTACTTCCGCTCCTTTACCATGGAAAATCCGTCAGCCGAGGGGTGAGCAAATTCAAAGGGACGTCAAACCCACACACCTTCAGTTTATTCTGCAACAGATCCTTCTTAGTGGGCATCTTTCCGTAGAGACGCAATAGGCGTTGCTCTTCAGGGGATAAGGACTGTATTCGTAATGACAGTCAGTTTTTGGGACAAATGAAAGAGGGGCGACAGGTAGACGGCTCACAGTAGTATCGACTTTGTTCTGTTGGTGGGGATTCATATTGGAAGAGGGGATATCAAAGGAAAGTTCTGCGAAAGTTTGTTTGACTCGAGGTGTAAACTCCCAGGAATGGACCTTTTCTGGTCTATGAAGGTGTAGCGGGTGAAGTAGTAAGTGTGACTGAGAGCTAGCAGGTGGGGAGGCTGGATGAGGGTAAGGTGAACGGGTGTCGTCAGTGAACCCCACCGAACTACGGGAGGAAATACGTAGCACGTTTTTGTTTATGAGCTCCTGGGGAATTATAAATGATCAAAGTTCAGAGTGTATTGTGGAGCAGATTGCACAGTAAACAGTAAAGCGAGGACCTGAAGAATAGATCGAGTACTCAAGGTCAGTAAGTAGTAGTAGTAGCAGTAGTAGTAGTAGTAGTAGTAGTAGTAGTAGTAGTAGTAGTAGTAGTAGTAGTAGTAGTAGCAGTTAATGGGAGGACTGTTGGGCTAGTGGGATGCTGTATGGTATGGTATGGTAACCCAGTATTGTCCGTTTCCAAACTTGGCCACGTTTTGCTCTTTGGGGCAACGTTGAGTGGAGACTAGTCCGTATACTCAGTCCCTTTAGAAGGAAGGTGGCTCGGCTTTAGGTAGTAAACGGTATATACATAGTACTTAATTTATGTCCACTGCTATCTTCATTTCCCGTAGATCAAGTCTTAAAGCGAGTTCCCATAAAATTTCGGGGACGGAAGGGGGGCTGCAGTTGACGTCTGGGTAAAAATGGAAAGAACATAACTTTCTAATATTACCTTGCTTTATGGAAGTTGTTCATTCACTGTAGTTATGTCGACCTAACATTGATATATACAAACACACAGTATATTCCGCACATATTCTTGGGTGTACGAGTTATTGCAGTATCTAACTCAATGCGAAAATACACACTCATTCAATTTGAATGAACTATCGACATACACCAGTGTTTGTGTGTCTTTTCTCCCTTGCCATCTCTCCCGCATTTTTTTTGTTCTTTTTCTTTTATCCTTTCCCTCTCTCTCTCTCCCTCATTTTTTTTTTTTTTTTTTTCCCTTTTCCTCTCTTCTTGTTCTTGTTCTTGTTCTCCCTCTCCCTCTCTCTCTCTCTGTGTGTGTGTATATATCTCTTTGTCCCTCTTTTTCTAATCGCCTCCGTATCTATTTGTAAATCGTCTTTTTATGTTCGGTTGCTCCAAAAGCGGCCAATTCGTCATTGATCCCGAATTCAGATCGGCCCACCATCTCGGCATCATATTATCCCAAATTGCTCTGTGCTAGACTTTCTCATTTGGAGATAGTCGCCTTTCAAATTGTATCACAATGACAGGCCAGAACCCCTCCACAAACCCAGTCACCATTGTGGTTGAGCATTTGGACCCTGAATTGGGGGCTTGGTCGGCCTTGGAATATGGCTGCATCGCTCGCGAATCGCATGCGGCTGGCAGCCAATTTCTCCTTAGCTCGGTGCCCACCTCTCTGCAGATGCCAGAAGATTTGGCCGCGACAGAAGGATTAAAAGTCGAGCACCGCAGCATTGAAGAGATTTTTGCGGATCGAAAGTCTAAGATCTGTCTGTTAGATCCCGCGGCTCAGGCTGAATTGAGCCCCGCCGATGGAGAAATTTTTGAAGTGTTCCTTTTCGGGGGTATCCTTGGTGCGGATTCTAGTTTTTCGTTAGGAGTTTCGACTCCGGCTAACTTCTAGGGGCCCCTTCGCGTCTGTAGGCGATGATCCTCCGCGAGGCAAGTTTCAATCAGAATTGGCGGAAGAGAGACGTATACCACGCATGCCACTAACCGAGCTTTCCAGATCGCACTTCGGAATTGAGAAAGAAGGGTTATGCTGGAAGACGACTCGGTCCCAAACAGATGACGACTGATACAGCCGTGCGTGTCACCCGCATGGTTGTGCATGAGAAAGGTTCAATCATTGACGCGAGATCCCACATATCAATTACTATTGGGCAAACTAACGATTCAACAGTGCCTCTAGAAAATATCCAGTATATCGATTACCCCGAGATTTTAATCAATGAGCATGAACGAACTGAGATGCCCTTCCGCTACGTGAGAGGGGATGATGGACAACCTATCATGCCTCAGGTGTGTACCTTGTCATCTCACCAGTTGAAAGACCACTGCTGACAGATGCTCAGGGGATGGTTGATCTTATCAAAAAAGACGCGGACCAGGGCATCGATGATCTTTTCTGATCTGGGCTATAAGCGTCCACTACAAAGTGTACAAAGAAGGGGGGGAGAGAAGGGCAAGATGTATGTGTGTGTGTGTGTGTGCGTTAATTAATAAACATGGAGACTGATATTTGAGCAAGTTTTCCTTTTCATCTTCATCGCCTTGCACTGCTACACATTTTTTTACCACACTTGAACAGAAAAATAAGAAACAGTTAAACAAATTTGCCCTTTAACCAAGTTTGTCCTATCTATAGTATATACTGGCAGTGTTCAGTATATCAAGAAACAATGAACCTGTCCTACATTGGCAAGAATAACGACTATTTGTAGTCTTTTAAAAGCGAATGGGGAACAGAAAGACTTAAAGATGTTCATCGTTGCCCTATAGATCCCCTAAAGAGGCAATGATAGGAAGATCCGCAGTTGTTCCAATTAACAAGGAAAAACGGATACTTGCTTGAGCGGCAGATCTTGGCGGCCCATTCGAAAGCGGTCTGGAATTATTGCAGTACGTAGTACGATAATGCTGCTGAAACGACTCCATTCAACGCCACTCCATCGTCTCCGTCTTTTCTTGACTTTTTTATTTGGTGCGATAGACGGGCTTGCCGGTAGTGTGGCAGCAAAGGAGCTTTAACTTCTCTTCTCCTACCTCCTCTCCGATCCGTTAGTCATTCGCTAAATCGTCCCGCTGCAACGTCTACTTACCACAACATATCTCGATCTTTGGGAGCAGCAGAAGGACCATCCATGCGGACTTGGGCGCTGCTCTTGTCCTCGTAGGACCTTTGACCCTAAACATTACTTCAACAACAACCCCTACTTTCGTTGTTCTTCTACCACCTACATCGGCCATCGTTGTTTCCTGAGGCATGTTTTCTGCAATCTGGCGTGGGTTCCCCAGAACTAAAACGGGCGATACCTTCTCCTTTTCCTTCAAGTCATCATGGCTTGTGTCATTACTCGTCTTATGGGGCCCACAATTGACCTCGGCCAAGTCAGCTGCGGATTACTATGTTCGCTCGTTGCCAGGCGCCCCCGATGGACCCTTACTGAAGATGCATGCTGGGTGAGTTCGCCAATACCACCGGGTCTCATTGATACATCTTTCACCCCTCCCCCCCCCCCCTCCCCCAAAACCACCCAGGACTCCATTGCAGAGGTTTTGACCGCGGCTTTCTGAAACAGGCATATTGAGGTGGACCCGCAGAACAATGGTAATCTCTTCTTTTGGCATTACCAGAATCGCCATATTGCCAACCGTCAGCGGACTGTAATCTGGCTAAACGGTGGCCCGGGCTGTAGCTCAATGGATGGTGCATTGATGGAGGTAGGCCCATATCGATTGAAGGACAACCTTACGTTGGAGTATAACGAAGGTTCTTGGGATGAATTTGCCAATCTACTTTTTGTGGATCAGCCGGTTGGAACCGGCTTCAGTTACGTTAATACCGACAGTTATCTTCATGAATTGGACGAGATGTCCGCGCATTTCATTATATTCTTGGACAAGTTCTTTGAGCTTTTCCCGGAATATGAAAGTGATGACGTATGAAATTCCCCAGGGTTGCTATTCCATCTCCTAGCCATAATATTCTGACTCTGGCAGATTTATCTTGCGGGCGAGTCCTACGCCGGTCAGCATATACCATATATTGCCAAAGCTATTTTAGATCGGAACAAGGACGCAGTGAACCCTTGGAACCTGCGTGGTCTTTTAATAGGCAACGGTTGGATCTCTCCTGCGGATCAGTATCCCTCCTACTTGACTTTCGCATACGAAGAAGGTCTTATCAAAGAAGACAGTCGGACCGCGAAGAGCCTGGAAGTGTTACAGTCGGTCTGTCAATCGAAGTTGGAGACAGGTGGAAAAGATAAAATACACATCGGTGACTGTGAAACAGTGTTGCAGGAGCTTCTGTCAAAGACTCTAGACTCTGACAACAAATGTTACAACATGTATGATGTCCGCCTCCGCGATACGGCTCCGTCTTGTGGCATGAACTGGCCCCAGGATCTTAAGGATGTGAAGCCGTATTTACGCCGGGCGGACGTTGTTAAAGCTCTAAATATAAATCCTGAAAAGAAGTCAGGGTGGGAGGAATGCTCAGGGGCTGTCAGCAGTTCTTTTCTTCCGCAAAAATCAGTGCCAGCTGTTCAATTACTTCCCAGTCTACTCGAATCGGGGATTTCAGTTCTTCTATTTAGCGGTGATAAAGACCTCATTTGCAACCACGTCGGAACCGAGCAGCTTATAAACAATATGAAATGGGGTGGTGGAGTCGGCTTCGAAACATCACCGGGTGTCTGGGCTCCCCGGCATGATTGGACTTTTGAGGGCGAGCCAGCGGGTATCTATCAACACGCGAGAAATTTGACCTATGTTCTCCTTTACAACTCTAGCCACATGGCGCCTTACGATCTCCCTCGCCAGACTCGAGACATGCTGGATCGCTTCATGAAGGTTGATATAGCAAGTATCGGAGGTAGCCCTGCGGATTCGCGCATCGATGGTGAAAAACTGCCTCAAACATCCGTGGGTGGTCATCCGAACAGCACTGCAGCCGAAGAGCAGGAGAAGGAGAGGATGAAACAGGCAGAATGGAAGGCCTATGCCAAGTCTGGAGAGGCAGTCCTCGTGGTTGTCATCATTGGCGTTTCCGTCTGGGGCTTCTTTATTTGGCGCAGCCGACAACGACATCGCAGGTATCAAGGCCTGTATCACGAGGATGTGAGTGGGACATCCGTTCTAGAGCGCTTTCATAACAAACGCTCAGGGCCGGACGTAGAAGCGGGAGATTTTGATGAGTCTGAGCTCGATGATCTCCATTCGCCAGACATGGCGCGAGAACATTACGCAGTGGGAGAGGACAGCGACGAAGATGGCGTGAACCGACAGCATCAGCGAACAGCCATAAATCCAAGCTGAACAAGTCGCGTATGAGTCTTTCTTTCTTCATGGACAATCCTTGTGTCATCTACTTTTTCTTTCTCCTCTATGCCATTCCCCCCAAAGTACAATTTGTTGCCATGTGTGTTGACCATGTTAGCATCATCAGCTTCTTCAAATCAGTAAGATACATAGACATGAATGTGGCTACATGAAAGCTGCAACGCAAATATAGTGGATGGAGTTTCGATCCCAATGTTCCAACTTAGTAATGTCTACTTTCTTGTTGTTCTACAATGCCGATTCCGCAACCCTTTCTATCTGCTGGCTGTCCGACATATTTAACCGGCATGTAATCACCTCTCACTGCAAAAATCATCGCCCGGATCTCTTTCACACCCCGAAGAGCTATCTCTAAAGGGCCCAGACCTTAATACTCCCATCGTCAGCGGTTGTGACAAGCACCTCCTCGTTCTCTTTTCGGCATCGGTCCGCGCGCCTGGCCCATGCAACATGATTGATCTCGTAGATGCCATGGGCACCCTCTAATATCGCAATGGCTACCCATTCTGTATGAGTTCGAGATGTAGTAGCAGAAGTATCTGTAGGAGCATCGGTGTCTAGCGTTCGTGCCGGTGTGGTCAAAAATCGCTCCTCATAGACCACGATGCGTCCATCTGCACCGACAGAAGCTAATAGCCCAGTGCGTTTGCTCCATGCAACTGCGTAGATGGAGAGCTCATGCATTTGTGGGAGAAGAACGTCTTCTTCCCACGTCTCATCGGTACCTGCTGGCCGGATGATACTAGGTATGCCCGTACTACCAACCTGCGATTGTGCTCGCTGTTCTTTAGACCTCCGTTTCCAGATGCGGACTGTTCTGTCATCGGAGCATGAGGCGAGACGAGGGCCAGACATGGCATGCTGGTCCTTCCATTCAGCAGACAGGGACGTGCCCTGCTCACACACCGCTGCAGTAGATGGCACGTTGTCAATACCTTCCCAGTCTAAATACCAGACAGTTCCCGTATGACCCTTGATGCACGCAACCTGGCCCCAGTCGTCGATATCCTCACGCCACAACCGGATGGTGTCGTCGTAGCTGGCGCTGGCCAGACACTCCTCCACGGGATGCCAGGCGACACATTTTACATCGCCTTCATGTTCCTGCATGACAGCCACGGTCTCGAAATTGTTGTCCCCGTCATCCAGGTCTTCCCAGATCCAGATTGACTTGTCCCGGGAGCATGTCGCCAACAACATCCCGGATGGCGACCATGACACCGACTTAACTTCGCTGTCATGTCCATCTAGGAGGACCGCGAATCGCCATTCTTCATCATCATCATCTTCATCTTCCTGAGTATCACGCCCATTGCCGTCGAGTGTCTCAGAGCTCAAGCCCCAGGTATCTGTGCCATCCTCTGCCCGACCGTAACTGTCCCACCGTCGCCAGATCCCCACGGTTGCATCGAAACTCCCTGTCGCCAGAACACTTTCGCCTTGCACGTGTGGTTTCCAGGCACATGTGCGCACACTGCGTTTGTGGCCGCCCGAGATGGTTGAGAGAAGCCGAAAGTTGGTTAGCGAGTATACACGGACAGTTTTATCGGAGCTACAGGTTGCAACAATGGGGAGAGAGGGATGGGGTGCGGTCAACCACGTGCGATCGAGGGACGGAGGGTTCAAATCTGACAGCAGTGTAAGTGAGGCAGAGGCAGTTGGGTTTTCGGTCATGGTGGATATATCTTCCTTTCCATCCAACATCTTTGGGTTTGTCCTAGTTTAGAAGGCTTGCTGGAATTGTGGACTGGGAGGAGACAGAATCTTTGCTGTAGTGGGGGGGGGGGGGGGGGGGGGGGGGGGGGGGGGGGGGGGGGGGGGGGGGGGGGGGGGGGGGGGGGGGGGGGGGTGTGGGGTTAGATAGGCGTCTGGGGAGATTAATCTATGATACCTACTGGCTATAGAAGCGACCTCGGAGCGTTGAGTAACATTTACCAATCAACGGGGAAACAAAAACAGAAAAGAAAAGAAAGAGAAAACATGATTAAAAATTATAAGATACCAAATCATTGTTATGCTCATGAATGATTCCATGTTATTGTTAAGTGAGGGAGAACAAACCCTAAAAAGCAAGAAGGTAAGAAGAAAAGACCTAGAAAAACACCGCCCAGTCTAACATGCTCAGCGCAGATTCCTCCGGATAACCACTTCAAGGCCTAGGTCCTGTCAAAACGCCCTCTCCTAGTATTCGCTCATAGACCATACCATGGCACAGCCAGTCTACTTCACGCACTTTTTCCAGCTCTTCAGTCAACTTGCCAACCTCGCTAACAAACTCGGGCATTCCTGCACCGGCCAAGCATTGGCTGGCTGTCGTCGTGGTTCGAATCCTCTCGGCCGCACTTGAAGCACTAAGGCGAGAGAGAATATGGGCGCGCAAACGCGAAAGAATGAGCCGCGCAACAGGATCTGCGAAGCTAGCCGCACCGGCCTCACTTCTATCGGAGTTCACCGGGCTTTGGGCCTCCGTTATCTCTTGTATGGGCGCATCCGTATGAATCTCAACCGTCGTCCGTGTTGCCACAGATGGAGAAACAGCAGCGCACGCCTTGGCGGCTGGTGCCAGTACCCGCCGGATGGTCGCCGCAAGTTGAGCGCTGGCATTAGAAGGCATTGGGTGTGTCGACTCCAGAATCGACTGTACTCGACTAAGTTCAATCTCACCAAAATGCAAAGACATTATACGATCCGCTTCAGCTTTCCATTGTGATCGCACGTCACGCTTGAGTAAATTCTTAGCTGCCAGTAAAATAGACGCAGTGGCCACAATTTTGAATGCCTGCGCGTGCAGTCTCTGTAGTCGTTGGCGGTCCAGCTCTAAGGTCTCAGGAACTAGATCGTCAGACACGAGTGCATTGCTCAGAACAAGATCCACGAGGCCTTGTGCATAAATCCTCGAGGTAGACGGCTGAGGCTCCCCATTGATATTCTCCGGGTCACGCTTCCGGATTTCGTCTACGATAATTCTGTGATGTGTTCGCCAGAAACGTCTAGCTTTCCTCAAGCTCAAGGATCCGTCGCGAAGGCCCTTCTCAAAGGTTCTTTGTTCATACCCAGGCGCCTCTTGGATAAGTTGAGGGGCAGCCAGTTGGATCATAAAGTTCGTATGATCGAGGGACAGCAAGTCGATTATCCCCATCAGCCTCGCCAGACGATCAATTTCATCTCCCGAAGTGTCTTCCGTAAAGGCCTTGACTATAGGATCCCGGTAAGGAGCACAAAGCTTCGGTAAAATGGTATTCATGAAGTCGAAGAAGCTAGCGTAAGAGAAAGCACCAACATTACATTGATTCTCAACCAACTTTGGGTCCAGCACTTCACTAATCAGCACATGAAGCGAATTGCCCGGGCGGAGCGAACGTAGTAGTCGATCCTGAATTACTGTAGCCATAGCCACAGTCCAGTTCGTGCCTAGCCCAGCATCCACATCTTTGCGCATCATATCGCACATATGATTCATAATTTGTTTACGCGGCTCCGTATACTGTGTCTCTTCAATCTTGAACTCCTTATTGATGAGAAGTTCGTGTACTAAGGCACGGTTCTCTGGAAGGGCAGTTAAAATCCTTGTGAAGCGTTCATGCGGGGAGATTCGCTGCCTTTCCAACTCCTTCAAAACAGCACTCTCTACATTGTTAAAAGTGTCGCTGAGAGGAGACGCAACACTCTCAGTGAGCGTTTCGGTCGATGAAGGCGCGACCTCTGCCGACCGTGGAATGGCTTGCCGAGAGGCAGTGCGTTTCGTCTCGCGCTTAGCCTTCTTCAAAGCATCCCGTACCATTTGCATTGCTCTTTCCGAGCCGGCTAGGCGCTTCAACCGGGCGAGAAGCAGAATCTGGTTTTGCCTGATGCCCTGACGGTAATCATCTGCCACACCGCCAGCTCGATCATTTTTGACTGTTTGCCAGATAAGCTCCAGCTCAACAAATTGGGCCAGCATGATTTCGATCAGGACGCTAGAGTCATGAGTCTTCCAAGCATGGAAGGCCGAAAAGAAGACATTGTAAGCCTCGCACACTGTCTGAAGCTCCGTAGAATTGGCCGGCGTCGAACGGTAGCCAGATAAAAGCAGTGGCATAGTTTGTTCAAACGCTAGAATGAGCTCACGAGCTTTTGCAATCAAATCCTGCTCCTGTTCACCGTTGCTGCTCAGCACCTCAGCTGGATGAGTTACGATCAAGTAACTGCTGAGAAATGTGCGCACAGCGCCCCTTCCGCCCATTGTACCGCTTTCCATATCTCGTAGACCGCAAAGTTGAAGGACATGAGCTGTTACGGTCAGGACTTTATTTTCCGAAAGCAGGGCTCCAACGTCCTCAAAATCCATGTGTCGAATCCGATTGGTTGTCAAATCCAGCATTCGGAACTCTTGCATAACCCTCCTGGTATGATAGGTCCTCCATATTCGCTGGATAGTCCTCGCGGCTGCATCCTGCGTGAGTGAACTGCTGACCACCTTAGCCATCTTTTTTTCTTCGCTAGTAGGTAAGCTGCTTGTGCGGTGGCGTCGATGACTTTGCTGATAGATTACACGCCGCTTTTCGGCCTCTGCAAACTTCTCTGCCATTTCCAAGCGAAGCCTGGCGTGCTCTGCAGCTTTCCTCTCCCGGTTATCTTCAGCTTTCTTCTTCGCGCGACGAACTTCCTCTTCACACTTGGCGGTGATCTCCGCCAATAGTCGCTCTCGAGCCTGCTGAGCAGCCAGTGCTCTCTCTTCCCTCTGCAAGTTCCTGGAGGCGGCTTTACTAAGGGCGGCGCGAAGCCTCACCTTCTCTGCATGCAGAGCACGGTCTGCGAGCCTCGCTTTCCGGCTCTCGAGAATGGAAGTTCGCCGGAGATGTTGCGCGATATTATCGGAGGGAGACGCGCCATGAGATGAAGCATTCGAGTGGTGTGAGTGTAAAGATGAGACCGAACTTCGACGAGAGGAGACAGCCGAGGAGCGTCGAGCCACACTCGGCTTTCGAGAGAAGCGGGCGGCGAGGCGGGTGGGTAGGCTCAGTGGTGGTGTTTGCTCCCCTGACAGCATTTCTATGTCTGTTTCGTTTACAACATCTGCAGTACCTGCAGCACCAGGGAGCTGAACCTCAATATCTGAGTTACGACGAATCATGATCTTCGAGAGCAATGAGACTATGCTACTCGCATCCAAGGGCGGTTGTCGATGGCAGGGACCGGAATATATCGAAAGGTGACGTCAAGGACAAGCCTTAGTCGACAGAAACAGATAATATTCTCTCAATATAGCACTCGAAAATAGGAACTCTGGGCAGTTTTCACGAACCCTGGTCTGCAGAGAGATGTATCTCGTTTTAGAGGGGGGGCCTAAAGGTCAAAGAGCTGGGGCGGAAGTGACTGGAACGTACTACGTTGTAGGTGATGGTGAGGGTTCACAGACTACGTAGTAAAAGGAAAGAAGAGGGAAGAGGTAATACATCCATTCAATCATGTGGGTGCATCCATTCATTCATATCGCCGAAACAAGGTTGTTATCTAATCTCATGCTGGAGAAGCCCATCGAAGGAATGCTGCCTGAGTAATGCAGGCTGCAAGCAGGTGGTTAGCTTAGGTAAGCGTGAGTAGCTAACTAACTAACTAACTAAATAGTTAACTAGTTAACTAACGTATTCGGTAAGCACCCTTGCACACGCAAGTGCCTGCGCAGCTCTGTATTCCAAATAAATCAACCCTTTTTACTATCCGAATATCTCAGCAACCACAAGCTATAATAATCCAAAATTTTAAGAAAAGTATATAATAGTACTTAACTCTCACTATATATAAAGTAGAGAAGTCTATATAAAGAATACTTCTTTCAGTATTGAATATTACAGCAGTATTTTTGATATTTCTACTTTATAGAGTAAAGTTAAGAAGGAAAAAATTTTTAAAAAAAAAATTATTAATAGTCTTATTTACCCTATATTCTACTATATATTAATTATTGTATCTTTACTATCTCTAGTTGCTGAGATATTCAAGTAGTAAAAAGGATTGATTTGTATGGAATACAGAGCTGCGCAGGGTACTTGCATGCGCAGGGTGCTTACCGAATACGTTAACCAACTAACTAACGTAACTGCAGTGGTAGACGAGTGGGCCATGTTGTATAATGTATTCCATATGAAATGGTACTTTTATAATTCACTTATCTTAACAGCTAGAGTTAGTAACAATATAATATTCAATCTGATATAAATATAGGGTATTTAAATAGAATCTATATCTTAGTATATTTTTAGTATATTCTTCTCGCACTTTAAATACAATTAATAGATAAACTACTAAAAATATATTGTAATCTATATTACCTGATATAATATTAGATATAGAGCTTTCTCTTTTAATATATATATCTACAGTATTGAATTAGTATAGATACTAGAATTTAGGGTACTAGCTTTGGTTGTTGAGGTACTTGGTTTCTAAAAGTACTCTTTTGTAGGGAATAATAGTGGCCCGCTCGCTTGCTGGCTACGTTAACTAAGTACTAGTACGACTGTACGGAGTAGTGGTCCATGGGATGGAATGCGAGCGACTTCAATAGCGAATGGACGACTCAACCATTGTCTAGCGCCCGTTGCCTGGGAATGCAGCAGCAGCTCCAGATACGAACCAATAGTAGTTAGTATTTGTAGGGGGTACTACTAGTCAAGTTCTACATCTATGTACATGTAACAAGGAACATTGTTCCCATCGACAAATGTATGTACATACAAAACTTTTTAGTGCTGAAGTTGTATGGCTTCAGTGATAGACACAGCGACGCCCCTATTCAACCCCAGTCGCCTATATGATCATTCCATTTATATCTATACTGTCTCTCTGACACGCTAGCTCCCGTCCGTGTAGATTTCTGGTAAAATCCGAGAATGTCCCATGGCTGGCTCATACGAGTCGAACGCTGTTACCCCGGACGATGAAGCGGGTTTTTGAAGCACCTAAAATTGATTGTACAGACAAAGTTCCAGGACACCAATGCTTTACGAACACCACAGAACTGCTAGACATGCTCATCGACACTAAAGTGAGTAGGAGAGAAAATGGGAAAAGAGAGAGGCGTAGAATGCTACTCTGCCGTCATGCAATTTGACCCATGACTAAAAGGGAATGCGCTGGGTATCTACTAAAGATAGCAGTAATGGCGTTTGAGAGAAGATTGGCTATTTTCGTCGTCTTCACCTGTGTCCAAAGATATCTATCTTCTCGTCATCATCATCGTCGTCGTCGTCGTCTTCCTCCTCATTGCCTTCCTCTGAGTTGCTGCACCATGACCGCTCATCATCATCACCGTTGCCCTCGTCTTCATCCTCTTCGTCGTTGGCTTCTGAGGTTCCATCGGCCGACTCAGTCCCTCGACTAAGAAATCCATACCTGTACTTAAACTTCGCACCCCAAAAGCGAATTTCGCCGCTATTTTCGGTTTCATTCTCCTTGGGTGCTCGGTCATTAAAGAATGACGTTGACTTTGGTCTCTCAGAGCCACGATCGGGGGGTATGCCAAAATAGTTACTGATCACTGGGGAAACAGCACGGCCACGACTGATACTGTAGGAGAATCGCTCACTTGACTCAGCTGATATTGGTGCATTGGGTCGTGCGTTTGAGCGAATATCCTGGCCGGAATTGGTGTCAAGTATCGATGTTGTCAATGCTGGGAGCGCAATATTGCCCGTGCCTTGAGATGATGACCTTGTTCGAGACGCTATGAAGCCTTCTCTCGCATAACCATCCTCGACTGAATCCAGTACATTTCCGCTCAATAATCGAATTTGAGCAGTGTTGTATGATTCGCACCTGACTCGTTAGTCCGCGTCAAACTGGGGATCATCCGAATAAGCTTACATATCACATCTCAGCCCCAGCCAGTGGTACATAACAACAGACTTTGCACCACAATCGTTACAGTAGATTAAAGCTTTTGTGTCATTGAACTCAGCCGGCATAGGTTGACTTTGGATCGTACGGTCCAGGTTTCGAAAGGTAGATTCCATATTCGTTATAGTTTTGCTGCATATCGGACAGCGATATGAATTTTTTGAATACTCGGAAAGACACTTTTGGTGTATGCTGTGTCCACATCGCATAAAGACGACGGTCTCAGGAGATGTAAACATGTAGTCCCCACAGATAGGACAATCACACTGCGTCGAGCGCTCAATGCATCGATGCGTATTCTCGATCGAGATAGGCAGACAGACGCAGCACGTCTAATATTGTTTATCAGTAATCGCCTATGAGCGCAACTATCCTTTCGTTTGGTCATTGTAGCCTACCTTGCAGTGAAAAAAATCTTTGCCTAACCCTTGGCCGATTCGACAGATTCCGCAGTCATTGCAATGGTAGATACTTTTGCTAGTGTCATTGTCCCAGAGCTTGCAGATGTTGCAATAGTACTGCGACGATTGTTCGCCGCATTGCCTACAAAATTGCGTGGCAGGTTGCGCATGCCCGCATAACATGCATAGCATGTTTTCTGTTTTTGGCCGATCAAGGTGATGGTCTTCAGCCTCATCGTGGCAAAATCGACAAGTATACCATTTCTTGCAGGCGTAACATTGTAGTTTGACATTCCTTTTATAATGTCGACAACCTAGACAAGCCTCCTCGAATTCTTCAGCATCCGTATCATCAATATCTTCAGGGGGCAGTTCTAATTCATCTCTAGGGGAAAAAGTTGGTTTCAAATCTTCAGCTGTCAAACAATACTGATTTTCTTGACGTGTGATCGAAGCTGGGGTAGCTGGGGCTAGGGATTGTTGGTCAAACGATTGACTGCTCCAACGGTGATTTGGAATGACAGATCGATCCGAGCTTCGGGGCCTGAGCAGTGACGGCGTTATTCTTATCATCTGGTTATCCAGATTACTTCGAGAAGCATTATAGTTTTCTGTCATTAAGTCGTGGATCATACGTGCTTGCTCCATGCTACTGTAGTTTAGATCCCGGATGGAATGGATCTTTTTCCTCAAGGCACCCATTCCATCGTCTTCTGGAAGCGAAGAGTGTCCACCCGTATCAACCAGGTTAAGATGACTCTGCGATACTCGCTGGGTCCCCCCCCCGGTTGAGCTTGTTTGTTGAGAGGCATCGTGCGTAGAGGTAGCAACTGAGGTGGCCTGCCGTGGTTCCGTCAAATCGCTCCCATGCATGATAACTGCATGGTTGTCTGAGACTTCAGAAACGTTATTGTCAATTATCTGCCTAGCACGATGCGACAGAGAAAGGGGTTCGGTTTCGTGGTTCTGGTCGTTGAAACCAGTCGGCCAAAGCATAACGGACGAGGGGCTGGCTTCGGAGGCTACATATTCACCATAAGCCCCTATATTAGGATGTATTTCTTGCTCTGAATATGACATAACACCTCTCGCAATGTTATCGCAGTCGTCTTCACCTCTGTCTGAAGAATACCAATCATAGATGCTCGAAGCTTGAGTAACAGGCGAGTCGGATTCTTCAGTCTGCTGTGACAGACGACGGGCTTGCCGAACGACGGGTTCGATCAGCAAGGAAGTGATGAGCCCGCTCATGAAGGGCCGGAGGCAACATTTGATTGAGAATAAAACATAGGCGGTACTAACTAGTCTTTTGAAAAGCAGAGTTGCCGAAGTTATGTTGCAACCAGAAGGAATAAATATCCTGCGAAAGTGCCGGAATAAGGAAGGCAAAGCATGTGACAATCAGAGGCCGGGATCGACCGCTGATTTGTTGCATGATTGTCAGATTGTTCTGATGGCGGAACCCCGTGAATCTTAGCTTTATTCACTGCCCAGATGGTGTCTCAAATGACCCGTTTCTGTAATGGTTATGGCTTAATAGTAGTCCTAAGTACTTGTGAGTATTTCATAAACACACAAAGCCTTGCCATTATGTGCTGCTATCTCTCTAGTTTATAGTAATGACGTCTTTCAGGTTTAGTCACGGAATTAGTCCACGACAGTACAGATTACAGCACTGAATAATAATAATAATAATAATAATAATAATAATAATAATAGTAGTAGTAGTAGTAGTAGTAGTAGTAGTATTCAGGGGTGCGCAAGGTTGGAACTAATGAAAAATAAAATAAAATAAATAAATAAAAAGAAAAAAATGAACGGAAAAGAAAAGAGGAAAGAATAAGGAAATACCTAAGGAGTAACACTTCTCAACCGCACATATACTGTTATTCAACAGGGGTCATCACTGATGTATATGTTAAGTCGAAAGGCGCAGACTGTATTTCGTACGCACTACATCTCTGCTGGACCCAACTCCTCTAGCTTTCTAGTATCATATAATGAAGTACAACTTTAACCGATGTCTAAAACGAAGAGTAATATTACCCCTTATTATCTGAGGCATGTCCCTAAGCTCTCATTCAGAAGCATTAATGTCAAATTAAATTGCTCATTGGCATCTCTGCGTAGAGTGGACTCTCTTTGGTCAAGCCCTAGCCCTTTCAATCTTCACAAGTTAGAGGTAGCACTCTCGCAGTACTTTCATTTCTCTCCACATGTCACCTACAATCGCAAATCCTTTCTCACTTGGGGTTGCTCCCAGTACCTAACCATCATCAAATTCTTCACAATCTTATGTTCCATGCCCGCAGCGTCGGCAGCTCGCTGGAGGAAGCGTAGAGTGTTGGCTATTCTGTGTGGATCGAAATCATGACGAGGAGACGAGCGAAACGAGGATCGCAAAGTTCGGAGAAGGACATGGCGCGACGGAGAAGAATAATTAATCACCCGCAGTCCTTGCCGGTAAAGATGACGGTAGGCCTGAATGACAGCTCGCTGGTCCATATGAACGGCACTACTCATGGTGCTTAAAGGTGTAAAGAATGCTCGAACGACGACCGCAATGTTCATGACTAGTAAGTAGTATGGGCCAGTCTCAAGGGGACATTCGTCGAATTGGAACAGCGCTCAGTTGGGACTAGCCTAGCCGAAACAGGTAGGCGCCTCCCGCGCCCGCGTTAGGCTGCAAATGATCGGCTGGTTGCTACCCTCCGCATCTCTCTTTCTGTCTGTATGTTGGTTCGCGGCGCTACCCTGCAAGCATAGCTTCAATCAAACTGTCCACGTTCCTTCCTTCTTTTTCTTCCATTTCAACGATTGCAAAGCAGTGGCTGCACTGGACGGTTATAATCCTATCTAGCTCCATCTTTTCCTCTAGAGCTGCACGTGTTCTTTGTGTAGAGATGAATCACTAACTGGTCCTACCAAGCTATGGCACGCTACTGATTATTATTTCTTCTCCCGAGCTACATGGCCAGCTCGCCGAGCTCAGCTGTTGTTCGTGCATTGCGTGCTTAAGGAGGCACTGTTATAATGAATGCTTGTCTTCTGTAGTGATTTGAAAACCAAACACCCACCGCATGGCGCGAGTATTTCGACGGCCCGCTTCGGCTCTTGCCAGGCGCGCTTCAAGTAGGGCCGCTCAAAGGGCCGCTCGGAAGCATCAGGTGGTCATGGAATCCGTTACACAAGAGAAGAAAAAGCTTCGGAGTGTTGTATGTCATTGTGTCGTTGGCTTTCTCGGGAGGATCTTGACAGTCGTGGCAGATATCGTTTGAAGCGAACGCCCCTCCGGGTTATACCTTCATTCCCGCTGGCAATCCCCAGCTCACCTCTGCATGCAAGGAAATATGCCGGAAAGATGGTCTCAACGTTTTTGCTGTCACGGTAGGCCAACAGACGTTTCTCTTCCCACTCCTCCCTCTTCCCTTCGCCGCCGCTCCGTTTTTACTTAGCCTACTTCTCTTCTCTAATTCTTGATCTTACCTGGCAGACAACTCCTCATATGCACACCCACAATCTTTCTCAGCATGTGCACAGGATTGGGTATCATTTTCCAAGTGCTGTTGTTGCGACTGTATGTATGGATTTAGGTCTCTATCTCACACCAACAGGCAAGGCAATGCCATTCCAAAACATTGGCTATACACAAAATCGCAAACGCACTAACTCAGAATCTTCTCAAACAACCATTAACACTGAGGCTCGGGATGTGTTGAAGGATCTTTTCCCTAATATACCAGACAACGATCTGAACCAAATCATCAAGACTGCGTTTCAAAAAGTATGTGAAGCATTTCTGCACCAGCTAAAAGCAGGCGCGAGATAGTTGTACTAAATCAACGGAAGGGTCAACGCAAAGTGGGCACGGCAGTTGAGTTACCCCTCGCTCGCCGAGCACAACTAGCAGTCGTGGCCCATATTCGGCATGTGTATACTGATTACGATCGTCTTCTCAAAACCACATCATTCCACGAGGCTAGAAGTATTGTTGAAGAACCTACCTTAGCCAAATTGGTGGAGTGGAGAGGTGATGATGAAAACGGAAAAACAGTCCTTGAGGATGTCTTCCGTGAAGTCATTGTTATTTCTGATGATGAAGATAGTGATACTGAAGGAGACATGCCTCAGGCTGTGGATCGGGACTACAGTGTGAAGATCGTTTCGAGCCATCCACGTGCAGATGACCTTCAAATGAAGCCAGTCAACTACTCAAACTCCACCCATCGAGAACATCATCTGGAAACCTCGGATGAAGAAGCCCCGCCGGGTTTTCATTTTATTCCAATAGCTCCTAAAAAGCCCAAAATTGACCGCCGCGGCTTCAGCAGATACCAAGCCTGGGACCGCGCCATCCACCGATATAGGAATGCATCCAACGGGACTGACCAACGTAAGCTTTATGCCAGTTCTCCTAATCAGGGAAGACCTATATATGCTCCACAGCGGCCCTGGCAGGATAACTTCGGGGTTAATAGGGACCCTGCTCTAGTCCAAGGCGTTCTTCATCGGCAGATTTCCGCCGCACCGTACGGGAACACGATTACTGGGCCGCACATATTAGCTATCGACCCTGTGGTAGAACGCCGTGTAAGTTCTCAAGGTGCACTAGTCTTTCACCTAACATGACTATTTTTGCCGGTTAAGTATTAAAACGACGTCTTGCTAATTTTAGAGAAGCCATATGAGGTATATCCTATATCCCGATCACCTCGTCAAAGAGAGGCTGTTCTCAAAGTGGTGCAGGCTCCAGAGTCTTTTGGGACCAAGCATCTACTCCATCAAGGTGACCCACCAAATGCCCCTGTCTTCGTTAGTGGCCCTAAGAAGGTCCTTGGGAACAATGGGAACCAACGTGGATCTGGCCCTATTCAAGGCAGACCAAACGTCAACCCACAAGACTGTGTCTTACCTTCTATTGAACCTCCTATATCACCGGAAAACAATACACTGGGTAATAGCCCATTAGATCACATTGCCGGAAGGATGTCAGGGGAGTGCTCTATTCGCTCATTAACACCGCGTCGTCTCCCATACAAGGATATCCAACGTCCATTCCTTGAAGATAAGGCGCAAGACCAACTACCTAAGAGAAGGCGTGTGGGTTGCTACGAACCTGTCAATGTTGATAGGGGCCTTCCTCAGATCGCTCGTACCAGCAACCCAGCGGATGCTTTCACAGGAGAACGGTATATGGCCTTGGGATATCCACCGGGAAAATCGCCTGTTCAGGGTGATATCCATATTCGTAAAAGATATCTAGCACCGTTTGATCCTATTCCTCAATCAGAGTCCCAATTAGGCAAAGTCCAGGTGTCCAGTTTATCTGCTACCCATCTTGATCTTAAACCAGGGACCCTGCTCCAGGAAGACTATGAACCTGCAGGACACCAATCGCTGCCCCGTAACCAATCACATGAAACTCGCACACAGTGGAGGTCGCAGGGACAGCTCCGCCCTTTGCCAGAAGCCAGAATTGCCTTTCCGACGACGCACTGCTCTGATAGAGCTGTTCCTGGTCGGTCTTCTAACTTTAGCGAACAGACAAATTTCCACAAAGACCATTACACCAATGAGAGCACGAGACCATTTAATGTATCAGAGTCTCATAAGGCTACTAGGGGCCACTTCAATGATCACGCTCTTATGGCGCTTGGAAATACCCAATGGCGGAGGCACTATGCTGACGATTTCGTTCGTACTATTGATTCGCAAGCCCCAATTCCAATAGAGTATCCGGCACAACATCGCCTTTATCGAGACCATGCCCGGGAGCCCCTTACTCAGCAGGCCTATGTTCAACTCCCACATCGTCCTTCCTACAACACTACTATGCCGGGTAATGTCAGCTCAAAGCAGCCTCCTGTTCGAGATTCACTGCATTCACCTGTGACAGCTGCAGCCCAATGTTATGCTACGATGGTTAACTCGGGCATAAGATACCATGATGCTGGCTTGGTTGAGTCTGGATACACAGAGCGGCCATTCCAAGATTCGCATAATTTTCCACGGTATGGTTTTGAATACAGTAGTCTATTTACGCAGTAATCTCTACACGTGTCCTTCTTTTCCCAACTCGTCCACCATTCTTTCGATGCCGCGGGCACGTTGACTAACTTTTCTTGCAGGCAAATCTTTGAACAACAACCACACACACGATACACACCAGAACTAGGCCGCCCTACCTGTGTGAGAAGAGGCGATCAATCTCAACCGTGTCACTCAGTGCCCGAAGGTAGAACAGTTGTTATTGTGGATTAGGTTGATGAGCTGGTCTGTTTATGAGCGCTCTGTTACATGGAATCCAGCAGATCTAGTTTCTAGTGTATATTCCTGCATGGATACTGTACATACATATGATATCATAAGCATAATACCCAAATGTGTGCCAATTGACGTCGTGATAATCTACTACGGCCATGATAAAAAACAAGCCTGCACTTGAGTATTCAGAACTGTTCGGCACCCTTAGGGCCGCCTAAGGTAAACCATTTGCAATCGCCTCCTGGGAGAAGAGTAAAGGGGAAATAGTTTTAATTGTGAGAAACAGAGGTTTTAAGCGCAGCTCTGTCATGACCATCTCAAGAGAGGCCAGATCAAAGAATTACTGCCTCCATCGCAACAGATGCCGGCTTGCTATCCATCAATTCATCGACCCGAGTTCTTTGAAAGTGTGGCCACCTGTCGGCAAAACGTTCCATTCACACAGCCATGGTTTGCCCATCTGCTTCGCCAGTATTGACTGTCTTCCCAGTTTTCTTGATAGTATCCAGCACTCTCTCATATGGCACGGACGGTTCCGTCACGACGGTGGCAGTTTGAGAATCCAGACTGACATTGAAAGATTTGACACCTGACAACAAAAGAGTTAGTGAGCTGCGAGTTATCTGTTTCCGTAGATTGCTAGATAGTTGTTGTCGTGGTCAATTATTTACGTATCACTAGTATGCCAGGGAGTGATTTTTTTTTGTCCTCTTCTTCTTTGCTTTCTCCTTTTGCTCTATCTATACATGATTTTGGGACGGAGGGGTTCTAGTCGAGGTTCAGGGAATGTGGGGAGGAGGGGAAGAGAGAAACAACACCAACCTTCCAACTTCTTCAGTACTCGTTCTACGGCCCCAGAGCAACCGCCACAGCTCATGGTGATGTTAAATTTGTACTGATGTTCAGACATGGTTGAATGATCGGTCCGTTCTGTTTAAAGGAGGATGGAGAGAAAGTGTCTCTTCTGAGGTAGCGTTAGGCGAGGGAATTTGGTGGGGAACAAGATTAGTTAGTCAGAGCGGAATGAGGGCAAGCCAATATTAAACGTATTCATGGGTGTTGTCGGTAAGATGTAAATGATGTGACTCTCTCTGCCAGGCCAGGCACAAAGGCTACATATATATCTTCAACTATCTGAAAGGGAAAAATGCAGTAAGCACCCATACCCTCTATGTGAAACAATGAACTTAATCTATTTTGGGCTAAAAGATATAATATCTCTTATTCATATCCTTCTCATTTCGCTATTAATTTTCAAGGAAGACAAATGACTACACCTCCCTTTTACCTCCTTCGCTTCTTCTTTCACTCTCTTCCTCCCCTTCCCCTCTTTTAGCCTTCCCCGAGCAGAAAAAGACCAAACCTAGGCGACTAAAAGCCAGCCGCTCGCTTCTTCTTTTTTGCCTTCACAGTACTTTTCCTCCCAGCTTCTCGACCACCAAACGCCCCTCGCTCGACTTGGGTCATAGGAAGGCCATCTCCCATGACCTGACTGCTCTGAAGTCGCACCATGGGCTGTTCATTGATCTCAGGCTGACTGCCCCATTCTCGGACAGTAGGCGCTGCTGATGTCGCTGGACGAGGGGCGAAAGAGTCTACTTTCTTTTTCTTCAACCTGCGCTTCGGGGTCATATCCTTAGTGTCCCATTGCGATTCCTCCAGTTCCAGTGCTTGTACGGTTCTTTGCCAGTCATATGTAGCTGGGTCTGTCCCCGGTCGCCAGTGTTGTAATATATTTGCCACCTTTGGAGACACAAACCGTTTTCGTTCACCATCGAAATCGGTAAAAGCAGCTAGGGTTGAGTTAAGGAATCCCGGATTTTTATTAGATGTTCCACGGTCTTCGGTTGCGAAGCTACCCCAGTCACCTTCTGGTATGGCAGACGGGAAGAGTGCCTGTTTCCCGCTCCTGAATTCCGAAGTAAATCCTGAACTGGATGATAGCGCGCCTTCTCTTTGGTTTGATGATTGGGAATTAGTTCCATTCGATTCATAATCTATCCTATGCGCTGCAACCCGTGCCAAGGCAAAATCAGCTGCAACATTTCGGATGATTTTTTCCTTCGTGATTCGTGCGCGAATGGGTATATTATGGGATAGGGTAAGCCAATCATTGACTGATTGGTCATATATCTCTATCAAGCCAGATCTAGAAGACTCTGTCGATTGAACAGGCTTGGTAGATCGCAAATCTAGAGGGCCAGGCAGTTGCACTACAAGCTGTTGATGTCTGTGGGTGCATGTATTTTCTGTTAAGAGCGCAGATAGCAAGTCCTCGACATCCTGTGCATTCTGGTCAACATCATCTAATGACGAGCTGCGACCAAGAATTTCAAGCCTGGGGTAGTCAGTATCATGGCGTTTAAACGATATATTTCTTCATGAACCATACAGAGTCTGACTAGCCGCTTGGCTCGCTGGAGATGCAGGTATCTTTTTTTTCAACTCTTTGAGAGACTCCTGGAAGCCCTTCTCATGCCTCTGACCGGGATCACCTCCCGGTGAAACTACGAGTCTCCCAATTGCAACCTCATAAACCTGCGAGAAGTCGATAGCCCATTGGGAAATTGCAAGTGGTGTGATATTAGAAATCCCAGTATCTGGGAGAGTAGGCGTTCCAGGGCCTCCTACGGACTCGTCGCAGTCATCAACTATGAAATCCCCGTAAGACTGTGATGAATGCAATTGCGCTTGGCGTGTCGTTGCGTAGCGTCGTTTCAACCGGATGATATCATTTTCCACGTCTTGCCTACCTGAAGCACCGTTATCGGAAGGCCCAACATATATTGATTCATGAACAGATAGGTGTGAGTCTAACACGAAAAGCTTTATAAGCTTCACGCCCGGATCACAATCTCTTCTCCCCGCCGTCGATGGTAGATGCATGATATTTCTGAAAATGAGTGATGAAAACTGTGCCAGGCTAGGTTGAGACTCGACGTTATATTCAGACCCCAACGGGATATCTAAAACAAAGGGATCGGGCATAGGTTCTATGTCTTCATGGCTGGTGAATACTGTGGGACAATGGAAAGCCAGTGCAACGTGGCTTAGTCTTGAGTACAGCACAAGATAGAGGTCCTCATATATGGACAGATGCGCCAATCGCAAAGTAGTGTCTTCCGGATCTCGAAAGTGACGCCAGGACAAACGAGGAAAAAGGGAAGGCTTTTTCCCATCTTTAGCGGCTACAACGAAGTCAGTGTTGACATCTAGCCAGAAGACCTGCGATGTCGTTAAGATGAAAATACTGGATGCGTTGCAGGAGCTCCGCTTAACATCCAAAATCCACTCCGAATTTTTCTTCAGCCCAAGCTCTATAGGGTAGGGGCATGCCTGATCGTCTTCCATCCGATATAGCATGGGACAACGCCTGTCAGAGACAATGAAGCTATTGACATCTCCAACCCACTCTATGGCCGCCCATCCATCATGTCGAGGATAACCGTCTATATCGTGGCTGTCACCAAGATCCAGCCATGGTAGTGCGCCAGATTTGACGCGTTCAACAGTCCAATTACCTTTATTCTGTCTGTGGCGACCAGATATCTCCCAAATGCCCCAGTTTCCCCGCTCATCAACAATGCCGATTTGCTTCTGGTACCAAGGATTGAAAGTCACGGCTGCATGTGCAGAGCCGCCAGTTTGAGAATTGGATATTTCCACCAATGGGTTTGCATCTAGACGGGTATCACGGGAGCTACTTGGCAACATCTGATTGCTCTTGTGGCATATGTGAGCAGGAATAGGCCGCCTATGATAGAGTGGCCGGAACACCAAGGTAGAATGAGGAAATCGGACCGCCATCCACGTTGGTTTCTCTTCCACGGTGCGCGCAAAACATATCTGGCGAACAGGCGCGCCTCGTGCACACCACTCGGCACTTCCGGTTCCCTCAATAGAGGGGACACGCATAGGGACTGTTGTACCTAGCTTCAAGTCCACCCAATCTTCGTTCAGTTTATATAAGGAAATGGCATTGCCACACTCGCCGGACGCAACTACTGCGATCGGGACAGTTCGACTCCCCGATTCATCGTTCTCGAGGTCCACTGCATACCCCAGGTCTAAGAGGGATGAGACTAAAGGGTCGCATATCTCGCTTGTCGTTGTGACGGTATGGGAGAGAGTCTCATTGTCAATGAGTGGCCAGCAAGCTGCAAGCTCGGGGTAAACCTTTGGGACGAGGCTCTTGTTCTCGATTTGTGATGATTGTGGGGCTGTAAGGGGCGATGTGATAGTGGTCTTCGTTGCCCCAGCGAAAATTATACGAGGTGCTTATAGCAGGGTCAGAGTCAGTATGAGGGAAATCAGCAAACGATTCGTATTGTCCAGAGAAACCTACGTAAAGCCAACGTCCGGGAAAATTCCCAAATCTGTGTCTCCGGATGGTATGTCGCTTTACCCAAGTGCCCATATTGTAGAGCACTGGCCGTATGTTCATCCATGGGGGTTCTCTTGGCTCCTGACGATATGTAAAAGCTCTAGCCTTGCAAGCATATCGAGAACCGACCAGTAGGGCGTTGAATGACGCAGTTCAGGTTAGCTTAAAAGACACGTGCAACTGCTTCGCAGGTGTGGTCATATATATGCGCCTATACCGGCCATTGAAAAGTGAACATATGGAATGGTGGTCGAGCATATATAAATATACTTATGCATGCACCGCAAGTTAATGGCTTTTTTTTTGACATGGCTGCCACCTCTTACCGCCATAAGCACGTATCAAAGTGTCCCGCATTAAAGTCACGTGATGCATATATGCCAAAGTCACCTTAAGTGCGACTGTTGCACCGCAACAAACAGTTCAGACGAGCATTACCACATTGTTCAGTTAAACTATACCCTTACTTATTTATGACTAAAACGTGAATGACATCAGAATTAGACGTTGTACTCACTCATCATGGCTTCTTTCGAACCCTCATTATCGACTAGTGGCATGCGTCCACCTCTCACATCAGCAGATGCACCTTCTATGGCTGATTCACTGCCTAGTATAAACTTCGGTTTTGAGGATCTACGCAATCGCATGGCCCAATTCACTGCTCGGTTCGATGCTTTCATTGAGAAAGGCAGAAAACAAATATTGGAGGAGAGGAATCAGTTCAAGATTGGGCTGGCAGAACTCCAAGGTGCGCATATGTGGACACTCAAAGGTACTGTGACTAATTCAAGCTTAGAGGACCAACGAATGAAACAGAGGGATATCGAAATCTTGAATCTCAAGTCGCAAACTCACGACCAAACTATTCAGAAGGAAGCCGCCGAAGCCGCCGAGATGCATGGCACAATTTCATCTGTAACGATGGAGCGCGATTCTCGTCTCGCTAAACGAGATCGTCTGAATCAACAAATCAACGAGACAAGGAAGGCTATAACCCAGAAAGTGGAAGCCCAGAAGGCTCATGCCCGGCATCTCGATGCACAGGCCCGCCTAAACATACCAGAGCTAGAATTCTGGCAGGATTATCTTTGTCTTCGGATTGAGGGGGCCGGGCGGGAGGATCGCCTGAAGTTCATCTTTACCCACCTACTCGAGAAGGATTGGGAAGCTGAAGCCTGGTTTGAACTCGGCACGTCTAGTCGCGATTACGAAGTGTTTCATACACGCCCCAAAGTGGACAGAGATGCACTTAATAGGGAGTTAGATATTTTAAACGAGGATCGCGACTTTGGTGCTTTTTTAAAAAGGATGCGCCGTCTGCTTGTCGAAACAATGAAATAGAAAAGGCCCACTGATTGGTGCGGTGGTGGAATTTGACTATGTTGAAGACAGCATAGCTTCTTATGTTGATGGTCATGAATTATGGCCAGGTGTAGCCGAGACAAATGCGTTGCTAAGATAGGTAAAAAGTATAGAGTTCTCTAAGCAGTCAACAGTCCCCACGAAATTTACTCGATCTGTTATTGAGACATCTGCAGAAGGATGCCTAAGTCTCATGGATTGCACGTGTCAACAAATCAACCGCCTGTAGCTTCCCTGTAGAATGATATGCTGCGGCTTGCCCCGGCCGTGGCAAACCCTTCTGACTTCCCAATCTTCGGTAGCCATTTGACGTTCCAAACGGCTCTGTCCGTTTCGGAATGCGTTGCAACACATGTTCTAGTATCAATCGACCAGACCTTCACTTTTCCATCGAATGATCTTCTATATCATTAGCGCAAATTTGTTGAGCAGTTCAGGTGTTAAAGGAAAGGCATACCCGCTTAAAAGATATTCTCCCGTGTGGCTCCAAGAAAGCGACAAGACCCATGCTGAATGCCCTGAGAGATTAGCCACCTGCTCGCCAGATGAAGTGTCATATAACACGATCACGTTGGAGTCTCCACCAGCAGCAAGAAACTTTCCCCCGGGGGAGAATGCAACAGCTCGCACGGGCTTCACTAGGCCTACAAGATATCAGATAAGCCTGTCAATTAAATATGCGGGATTATAAGGATGTATGTGAGGCATGTACCTGACAAGCTGAACGGCATACGACCTGTTTCCGTGCTGAAAATATAGACGCTGCCATTCTCATGCCCACTAGCTATAAAGCGGCCATCTGTCGACTATATGAGACTGTCAGTGCGACCGAAAGAGATGAAAAACTGGGTAGACAGGTTACCAAGTCTATGCAAGTACCAAAGCTACCTTTGGTCTCATAATAACGTATTTGTTCGCCATTGGCATCCAAATCCCACACTCGAATGTGCCCATCTTGGCTTACACCGGCAAGATACTGGCCATCGTCTGATAAGGCAATAGCCCAAATATCGGTGGATCCTGCGCTACCAGCTGTTCAGATGTTAATATAAGAAGTCACTCGAGGATTAAAGCACATTCGATTACCTGAGGCTGTCTTATTCTCGGACCAGGTCCCATCATGACAGGACCAAACCCTGATCTCACCACCGAAACCAACACTTACTGATCTCGATCCGTTGCCACCAGTTACAACATGATGACACCCAAGTTTATGGGCTTCATCGATTGATTGTACTAATGGGAAATCAGGGTCAGCGGTCGAGTGAATCTTGAGAGCAGAGACACCAGAAGCCGATATAATCTGCTTGTTGGTTATAGCCAATGAGAAGATATCAGTAGGGTGTGCTATACACTATTAGCACAACATTAATCAGATAAGGAATAGGAGAAAAGGGGGAGTGGGAGAAGAGTTAGGGGAAACAAGTTCAGCTGGCGGAAGCGTAAGAATATGGAGGAGCTCCATATACATACCATTATCTGCGGAACCGCAGGATAGATACTGTTTCGACTATGATTGAATGTCAGAATAGGCGGTCAGTAATATAATCTATTCCCAAAGGCTTACCATTGTAAAATGTCTTAATCATGTATGGGGACAATCTAGTTCGCAGGCACCGACGCTCCGCGGGGATGAACAAAGTCGATGTAATTCGCGACAATAGTGGGACAAATTCACCGTCGGGTGAGATCATCAAGGCCCGCCTTCATACGAGCCAAAAGTGGCATTCTTAGGAACTTACACACTACGCAATTTGCAGGAATTGGTAATAATTCAGCAGAAAGTACGAGATATGGCCATTCAATTGAAGGTGGTGTTTTTTTTTTATTTTTTTTGCAAAATAATATTGTAAACAAACACGTAAATTTCCCTGTCAGAACCAGACGCCGAATGCCATGCAGCATATATATATCCGACACTTCATGTATAGTAAAAGTACAAGCCTCAAGAGCACAGTTAACCCACCGCTTTCTTCGCCTTCACTGACACTGTTCAGTCTTCATTCCCAAGCAGTTTGGGTTTGCTTCCATTGCTTTTTAATATCTGTCAAGTCATTAATTGCCAAACTCGGACCTGATCAAGACGGTGGTGCAAAGTCACATACTCTCAACACAGTGTGGGCATAAAACATGCGCACGCTTTATTTGACCGCACCCAGGGCAGGTGTTGAGGCTTTTGACATCCTTCAAAGCCTTGCCAGCCATCTGTCTATGACGTTTTTTCATGTGGGATGTTTTCTTTTTCGGTACGGCTCGGAGTACAGAGTCCCAGACATCGGACAGGAGCCCCGGTATATTCAATGACAATGCGGCGGCTTTGAAAAGAGTGCGAGAAAAATTGGGGGACGTCTGCCCGGAAGTCTGCCAGATTCGAGACCATCGTCCTCCGACGGAAGACATAGCTTCGGAGGCCATGAAGATACGCGGCAGAATCTGGGAGGAAGAGGTAAATGGAAGCGATCGCAGTGCCATGGTGCCCAAGTCTGGGAGTAGATCTGCTGGAATGAAGGTAATTGAAGGGAATTGGGCGTATCTGATATCAAAAAATTATACCGCTGGAAAGTGAAGCTACCCGCCGACATTGCTGACTTTGGTCCGGAGATTGACCTAATCCCGAAGCAGACTAGTGGCTCCCCTGAGAGCGCAACAACAATTAAAGGGGCCCATACCGGTGATGGCCTGCATCTCTCCATCTCTAGTCAAACTAGCCACCTGGGGGTAGAAGCTCATCTTTCAAGCAGTAGACCTCTTTAGTAGTCTAACTCGTGTTTGATCTTCCAGTCGTCACTCACCTCACCCCCATTGATCGCTCATTGAAGAGAACCCCAGGGAACCCTCGTTCTCTCCACCATGGCTACCACTACTACCTCGACCTCGGCCACCCCGGCTACCGTTTTCCCTCGCAGCCATGTCGGTTTCGACAGCATCACCTCCCAGATTGAAAGGAAGCTCCTCAAACGCGGCTTTCAGTTTAACGTGATGTGTGTTGGTAGGGGCTCCCTGACCTACTTGTGTATAGAAAACCATTGACCGTCAAACTGACTGTTGGGAAAGGCCAGACGGGTCTTGGAAAGTCTACTTTGATTAACACTATCTTTGCTTCCCACTTGATTGACTCGAAGGGTCGTCTGACCCCTAATGAACCTGTGCGCTCGACCACAGAAATTCAGACCGTCTCCCACAGTAAGTCAACGTCCCCCATTTATACGCAAGGTACCCCGTTAATATTCGGCAACTAGTAATTGAGGAAAACGGCGTACGTCTCAGGCTAAACATCGTTGACACCCCTGGATACGGGGATCAGGTTAATAATGATAGATGGTATATGACGTTCTTCTCATGTTCGCGTTAAGCTAATGCCTTACTAGCTGGGACCCTATTGTCAAATACATCAAGGATCAACACTCCGCGTACCTTCGAAAGGAGCTTACCGCTCAGCGTGACCGTTATATTCAAGATACCCGTATTCACTGCTGCTTGTTCTTCATTCAACCATCCGGCCATGCGTAAGATCCGAAGCCTCTGGAATTGGCGAGATATGGCCAAGCTGACTATACTCTAGCCTCAAGCCCATTGACATCGTCGTTTTAAAGAAGTTATCTGATGTCGTCAATGTTGTTCCTGTAATTGCCAAGGCCGATTCACTTACTCTCGAGGAACGTCAGGCGTTCAAGGAAAGAATCAAGGAGGAGTTTGCTTTTCACAACCTGAAGATGTACCCGTATGATAACGACGAGCTCGATGACGAGGAGCGCGCGGTCAATGTTCAAATCAAGGTCTGCACCTCTCTAATTCGTGTACTCAATCAGCCCCTGATATATAAGCAGGACATCATTCCATTTGCCGTGGTTGGCAGTGAGAGAACTATAGTTGTCAATGGTCAACAGGTTCGCGGTCGACAGAACCGCTGGGGTGTTATCAATGTGGAGGATGAGAATCACTGCGAATTTGTATACCTGAGAAACTTCCTCACTCGCACCCATCTCCAGGATCTCATTGAGACAACAAGCCAAATCCACTATGAGACCTTCCGTGCTAAGCAGCTTCTTGCTCTGAAGGAGAGCAGTGCAGCGGGAGGTCACAGTGGTGGGAGTCGGCCCATCAGTCCCTCAGCCGATAGGGAGCTCAGCCGCAACTCTCAGCGGATGACCATGAATGGCTATTAACGGCGCACGAGAGCGTCAAGGATAAATCTCAATGCTCTATGGAGCAAGCCGTCCATGCCAGCTGTTTACATACATGGGTGCACACGCAGACAACTTAGGGGCAGTGTCGAGCATCCCTTCACCTTTCCTTTTACTTCATACATAACTTTACTTTTATACCAGCATGTTCTTACAGATATTCTTTTAACTTCTGATTCGCTCTTGGCTTCGTTGCTTATTTTGCTATCTCCCAGCACGGGAAGCGAGTGCCTTTATTCCGTTTTCTACGATTGAGATTGTTATTGCGGATCAGAAAGCGGCTAGCAATGATAGTGCTAGCATCATTTTTATTGCCTCATGTACTTAAATTCCTTAATCATCACACCACGAGGGAAATACAGTTGATACAACCCAAAAGTTCTGCTGAATAATGCCTTATAAACAATAGGATCAATCACCGTCCATGACGTTGCCAATCCTGCAATATCTTGTCAATCATGACATAACTTGCACAGCACAGATTTTTACCCCGTAAATTGGTTGATTATTGCTAGGCGCCAAATTTACCATTGTCGACAATCCAGTCCCTCAACTCAGCATAGGCTTTTTCCAAATCATCATTGACAACTAGCTTGTCATGTGCGCCAGGCTCCTTGGCATACTCGAGTTCATTTTTGGCCTGTGCTAAGCGTTTACTGTTGAAGTTGCGGTCAATACCTTCTCGCATATAACAGAAAATATGCGACCCTTTCGATGTAACTCACCTCAAGCTCTCTTCGGACTCGGTGTCTCTACCTCGCAATCTCCGTTCTAGTTCTTCAACCGACGGCGGTGCGAGAAACATAAAGCGAGCGTTCAGGTCCGTACGCTTCACTTGCTTCACGCCCTGTTAAATTAAGGCCATCAGTACGACATTCTCGGCCTAGTGTTCATCCTCCGTGAAGCTTATGTGTTTTGAGGTCCGTGGAAACATATGGAATCAATTACCTCCATCTCAATGTCGAGGATACAAATCCTACCCCTCTCTGCAATATCTTTCACGGCCTGGACACTGGTACCATAGTGGTTCCCTCCAAACTGCGCATGTTCAATGAACCCGTTTTTGCTCACAAGGTCCAGGAAGTCCGCTTTGGTTGTGAAATAATATTCGCGCCCATGCTGCTCGCCCGGCCGTGGAGCTCTGGTGGTGTCTGCACTCGATAAGCAATGGTTAGCTTATAGAAAAGCGAGACAGAATTGTCGTTGAAAAACCAAAAAGATTCAGGACGGACGCGAAACAGAAAACCCAAAGGTATCGGGATATTCAGCAAACAGTCGTTTTAGTAGAGTTGATTTCCCAGCACCAGAGGGGCCCGATACCACTACTGGGCGAAACTTTTGCACTATATACAGGTCAGTATCCTGGTTAGTTCACCGCGTTGAGTGGTATGCGCTAACGGGATTCGCACCAGCACTGGTTGACATTTTCAAAGTTGAGCGGCGAGTGAACAACTGGAAACGTCCACTATAAGAATGCAAGGTTAAACGAGACTTTAAAACGCCTTGCATAGACAGGAAAAGCTGGAAACGAAGCCTAGGAGACACCTCAAGAACTGCCGCATTTTGACTCTGATAAATTATGTAAAGGCGGTGACCACAGATCTACGGCAAACACCACAAACAGGAACCGACTGCTTTCATTCAGTTGCATGTAAACTCGGTCATAAACAAATAATTAGAAGTACAAGTTCTGATAAGGTCCTGCTTATCATATAGTTCACGGAGGACTATACTACTAACAAGCCCTTGACACAGTATATGTGAGCAGCAACGGATGTGTATCGGCTGTCTTCTAGATACCTACAGCTTTCAAGGCTTTGGTTGTGTATATTCCTGCGCAGCCTGAGATTCCTGCTCGAGAAAGTTGGACCAAAGCTCTGCCAACGACTCCTTGTTTGAGTTCCCATTATCTAAGAATTCAGTAGCCAGCGTTGGGGTGCTAGGGGTACGATGGATAGGTGTACTTGGGACTCTAAACTTGTTAGAGGTACTTGAGGTTCCTGGGCGTGCTAGACCGGCCTGTTCACGCTGTTCTGATGCCGATTGTCAACTCTCGGCTCCGAGGGAGGGGAAACAAAAAAAATAACATCACATACCATCTGTCCAACCTAGAAGAGCTGCAATAAGTTGCAATATCTGAAATTTTTTTGGGTCTGACCGATCAAGAGTAAGAAAATGCAGAAAGTGGTTTGTAACAATATGCCTAACAGGAATAGTCAGCAGATGTCAAAAAAGCTACTGTGGAGCTTCTCTTGTATGGTGAGTCTCGACGTGCCTGTCAACGTTGTCCTCGGGCTTCCCTTTCTTGAGAAACCTCAAGGCCTTGGTCAAGTGATCGTTCAGCGTCACCGCCTCATGTCTGAGTTTGCCAATGAGGAGGTTCTTTTCCTTTACTTCTTTCTCAAACGGCCTCACTCGCTCCAATTCTTTCTGAGCACTTCGGAGAACTTTATCAGCATCCAACGCCTTTTTCTCTGCAGAATGAAGGGCCTGTTTTAGCTCTTCAAGTTGAGCGGTAGAGCTCTCCACGAGCTCACGAAGTTCTTTTTTGCGAGCTGGGGATAGGTTAAACCTTTCATCCATGACAATTTATATGTAAGGGTTTACCTACCTGTCTGGATTTCCTGCAGGGCTCGCTGTAACCCGTCTACAGCGGCTAATTGAGAATCGCGCTCATCGGATGTTCTTTCATAGGTATCTTTGAGGCTAGCAAGCTGCTCCTCAAGGTCTACAACTTTCTCGCCTAGGGTTTCCCTGATAGACCGCTCTTCCATAGCAAGAACTTCCCAATTGTGCATGGCCTCCTTAGCTTGCTCGAATTCGGATTGAAGATATGATTGTTGCTCAAGTAATTCCTCCTTCTCCTTCAGCCAGTTCTGCTGTGACAAGTTCGTCCTGTCTCGTAATGTTGAGATCTCGTTCGACTTGTGTTCATTCGCTTCCGAGAGCTCTGCCAGTTCAGAGCACTTTACCTGAAAATTCTCTTTCAACGCTGAGTTTTGTTCTTCCAGCTCCTCTATTTTTAATCTAGCTTGAGCAAGTTCCTCCTATCAAAAAGTTAGCTATAGAGCAACGGCTCGGGTTTTTGTGAACGGACGCACAGCATCTTCCTTGAGTCTTTCACCTAGCTGCGACTTGATCGTATTGACACGCTCCAATAGCTTCTGGAACTGTGATTCTGCGTGTTCCTTTTTGTCCTCGGCATTATTCAGTTTGTGCTGTAGAGCTTCCATGTCCGCTTGATGCTTAGATTGTATTTCTTCTAAAGACCTCCGCATGTCCGTCACCTCAGCACGTAGTGAATCCCGATCCCGTACAAGAGCGTCGAACCGTTCTTTCGACTGGAGTGCATCGGGGGGTGATTTGGCCATACTGCGAAAGTCCTCCTTTTCTCCATATAGGGGTACTGCTTGCCGCTGGTTACAGGAGTCATTTTTTATACCATCATTGGAAGCGCTCCCGTCTTCACTCATGTGGGTCTGATTATCCGTAACTGTCTCCTCGGTCGACTTGGGCACGACCTGGTCTCTGTTATCAGCAATCGCCGGGCAGAGTAATTAGTAAGACAACCCACCCTTGAGTTAAGCAAGTCGGATGATCCCTCCTCCCATGGCGTTGCAGACGTGTCCTGCTGCTTTTCAACATCCTTGTTATTGACTTCCCCGTTCTTTGCAGAGCCCTTGTTCTTCCTCTTGTTTCTCGGGTTGCTGTCTGGTCAAGAGTGATTTGTAAGAACGGCACAACGAAGAGTATGGGAGCTGCTCCTCGACAAATGCGTACCTTCGTGCATTTTTTTCTCTCTCTTTCTTTTTATGGAATTTTCGGGATATGTTACGTCTCTTAAGTCGAAGATGGCGGCCACTCGGGCGTGGTTACGAGATCAAGACCATAGCTGTCAACTTCCTTTAGCGCGGTCGTAGTTATTCGCTAACTCCCGAACCTCGCTTATGTACATATAACAACATACTACTAACTACGGGGTACCTCAAATACATTGAGCTGCAAAAGCACCACAGACTTAGCGGAAGCAAGAAAATGTGTCTTCCAATATGTATGTTACTACTTTGTGGTATGAAGTCAAGTTTGTGTCATTGGGTTCAAGTAATTTCCAATTTTTCCCATTAGCTATTGGCATCTAAGCACCACGTAGTACGCTTCCAAGACCAAAGGTTAAAGAAACAGAACATGAAAAACTTACCATAAAGGATATTATTGAACCAGTTATAGCCAACAGGATCGCTAATAAATCAAAAAGGATATATACAACTAAAAGCAGAAAAATAAAATAAAATAAGCAGAGTTTGCTTTGGCTTTCGATGAGAAGCCAGGTAGAACCGGTGATCAAAGTGAGAATACTCTCAGGCGTCCAGTACTATGCCTAAGCCGATATGGAAGTGGAAAGATTGGTTTGATAAATCCACAAGACGGTTTCCCACGGAAAGTGGATTTTTGTGATCACATGAAGTCATCAAGGAAGTCAGGATCCCGATCTTGATTGCTGCTTGCCTCGATGTTTTCCTCGCTCATCAGATCATCGTAGGCATGCTCTTTATGCCACTTCAACTGTTCCCTTTCCCTCTTTTCTTGTTTTTCTCTTGCTCGCAGCTCTTCTCTGGTCTTCCTTTCCTCTCTCTGCTTCTTTTTCAAAGACTCCTCTTTCTCTGCCATGAGATCAGGAAATTTTTCCACGCGGGTTTTATTAAGCCGGTTGACTATAACATTTTCCCTTTCTCGTACGAAAACTTTGCGCACCAACTTGGGATTGTGAAACGAGACTTGGCCAGTAGCCATAGACCCATCTTTCATCAAGTTCGACCATGGTGTATAGATGACCGTGATGTTGTCTTTTTTATTCCCTGGCCCGTAAGTTAGCTGACTACGTATTGGTAGCAGCACAATGCATGAATTATGAATAGAAAGATAGTTCACCCTCAATAGAATTCGCCTTTGTAAGCTGTGCGCAGTCTTCCAGAAGGGGTTGTGGGATATTGTCCCATGATTCGCCATCACGGAGACGGAGATAGACATGTGCACTGGACAGGTTATCAACATGAAACTGGTCACAAAGTTAGGCCGCGTTCAGGGGGCTTTTCTGTGTAGATGTGATGATAACGAACCCTGTATCACCAAGACCAGCGACTGTTAGCACACACGGCCACAAAGAGGGTCGAAATACTGTGATATTACCAAACATCCTTCTCTAAACCATATTTTATAAGATTCTCATCTAGTTCAATTATTGTCAGACTTGTGCCATTTCCTTGAGCTTGGAATATAGCGGTCATACTCTCAAATTTATCTTTCCCTACATAGATAAAAGCGGATGGCTCAACCACATTCGATGTAAAGTAGTATACCATACTGCTGCGATTATCTCTCCTAAGGGAACCTCAGTCAAGCGACAATAATCAAGAAATGTTCAGATTCAACTGTCAAATTGTGAATACCGGAGGGTGTATTGGAAAGTGGGGTGTAGATTTTCTTCTAGTTGATTTTGTGGGGAACCTCTTATGAATGTAGTTATACATATATAGATTAGTCATTTATTCTGGGTGTATTACGACTTTTGGTCGGGAACGCGTATCCATGTACTCCGTACTCTGTACAAGGTTATGCTTTGATGAAATAACACCCACGCGTGTATGTGCATGTGAGAGCTACTGGGCTCATGGGATTCTCTATATTATCCCTTAGTATAAAACACCCCCAATATATGTGTTAAAGTTCTATACAGCATCACAAATCTGAATTTTCTTAGGCAAATAGTCATTCTCGACTGAGAAAGAGAAAGAGAGGGATGTGTATATGTAGTATTATATTTACATAACCCACCATAGGTCATGAGCAAGCTTGGAAATTAGTCGTGATAGATCACGTTTTGTAGTTTATATAGTGGCTATAAGTTGTTTCCTAAATGTATATTTGTATGTGTATCATCAATGTGAAACGAGAGAGTAGCAAAGTAGGAGCAATCTTCCAGTGGGCCAGCTCAATTGCTAGGTAGGCAATTTTACCATGTCATATACCTAAAGGGGACCTCAGAATCGAGGACATTTGTAAATATCGAGCCATGTCTGTAGTAGTTTCAAGCTAGAACCCGAGTCCGACTGGCTTCAAGTTGCTGTCCCACTTGCAACTGAGTGCAGGAATTATATCTGCAAGCCTGCAGATCATAGGGCAAATAAACAGTTATCCTAAAAAGCAAACACCTTTTTGCCTATTTCCTTATAATTGCAGCGATATAAATAGGATAAAACGCTGCATATGTTGTTGTATACCGCAGTAATTACACAACACAGACATGTCAACAAGTAGTTATTTGTCATATTCTCATTCAATTAAGTCTGAAATGTTGGACTCAGGTAGACTACTTCGGAGCAGAGTGTCTGTTACCAAAATATGCTGCTATCAAATATTCTGGCATTGGTGGTCCCCCTTTCTTTTTTTTTTTTGGCCATTTAGACAGATGACTTACCCGTGTGTATGAGAAAAGTGGGGTCTAGGTGGATATTCCGTGACGCCTTGGTAGTCAGCGGAAGGCTGTTAAGTGACTCGCAGTGCCGTAGCACTCGCGCACACAAAAATACACAAAAATACACAAAAACACACACACACACACACACACACACACACACACACACACACACACAGAGAGAGAGAGAGAGAGAGAGAGAGAGAGAGAGAGAGAGAGAGGTTGGGGGGAGGCCAGATTCAAGCTCTTGCTGCCATATTCGACCACGCGTTACGTAGTTAACCTAAACAACCATTATCTTGATATAACTTGTTCTATTATAGAAAGGAGCAACTGTAAGTGCAAATATAGAGGAAGTGCAACTTCCTACTATTATTCGTTCCATGTAAGCCTCGGCTGTACTCAGGTTGTTGGTCACAGCTGAAGACCATAAATGCATAACTAATTAATTTGTAACCACTAGTCGAGAGACACCTTAGCAGACCATTGTGCTGCACTTAAAGTCCCGTTAAACCCTACTGTGGAGTCCGAATCAGATCCTTTCCCAACAAGAGAAGAAACCGTTACGCCAAGAAGTAAGTACTAGCACTATAACGGGTGAGCCCGTACAAAACCCCACCTACCACATGGCTCTTCGGAACTGGTCTCTCTCAGATAAAACCAGGTAAAAGTTAAACAGGAAGGGGGGGAATAAAAAGTGAGAAAGAGAGAGTATATATAGATATATATATATATATGTGTGTGTGTGTGTGTGTGTGTGTGTGTGTGTGTATGTGTGAGAGATGGGGGAATAAAGTAAGGCACTTTCACAACAAGCATTTATACTTGTAATCTACTCAGCATCTCCTTTTGCAAAATCTCGACAAAAGTGATCTTTGAATAGCCTTGGTATAGATGTATTTGCAAATATCCTACCATGACCCTGATATGATCTGTTTTGGCTTGAGATAGATAGGAAAGGAAGAGGGCTAACGACAAATTAAGAACAAATACAGGATAGATTAATTCACAACTATTCTCTGCAATGCCAGCAAAGTAGCTGTGTTCATCTTTGTCACTCGTAGGAAATGCGATCCACACCCTTGTGCTCCACCTAGTGTGTTAAATTGAAAAGGCTCGGGGCTTTCCAAAAAGTGAATTTTCTACCTTTCTTTTTTCTTTTTTCTTTTCTTTTTTTTGGGGGTTGGAGGGAGGGGCGGTTGATGGAAATATTTCCCCTTTGCCTCCCCCCCATGGTAGTTAGTATCTGGGCTGTTTCTGTGTCGATTTCTACTTATTTTATATTCTTTTATTATTTACATATTTATTTTGTTTTATTTTTTGCACTTTTTTTTTTTAAAAAAAAAAGAAACCTTTCCTATGAAACTCTTTACGGATAACAACACCAAACAGCCCATCACAAGAACTAAACTCCAAATGGCCAATTCCACTCCTCCTCCTGTAATGCGACCAAACGTCCTACGATCTTTGGAACGAGCCAGGAACTGTGAAGAGAATGATAACGACCGCGTCATCCTTGATAATGCCGTCACCGAGTTGTGGCGAAGGGTACAGAGCGAGCCGGACACTTACGTGTTTACCCCAGATGAATTCGCTCTCTTCAACTATTTTATCGCCCGTTTTCAGGGTTCGCTTGTCACTCGAGGAGCAGTGGCGCGGTTTTGGAACAATTATCGAGGAAATGACTCGGGTCTGGACTGAAGTGACATGTCAATACCTTCGGCACAGCTCCGGCTCAACTGCATGTGGAAGCTTAAAACAAGTCCATTTCGCAGAACAAAGCAGGTTGTTCTGTATATCAGGGTCAAGCAAAGATGCAGCCGTCAGAGTGGCATGATAGATTTTCTGTACCTTTTCCTTTTCCTATTCTGGTTGGAGGACCAATGATACCCGCGCCTGGTTACGATTTGACCGCGCATAGAGAGAGGCATGCGATTACTTTGGGAGTCATAAAAATAGCGGAGATCGACGTATTTTTTTAAGGGAATCGTTGCATCTTGAGTTCCCCGGATTGGACAGGTTCTGGCGGTACCTGTCGATTGCGCTTAAGGATAGGTTACGGATCTACCCCGTAAATCCGGTATGAATCGATTAATAGATAACCGAGCGGCTGAAAGGTTGATACCTAGCCATTTATTGCCTGCATCGGGGGTGGTTGAGCCATAATACCTTCCTCATCGCCCTTTTGCCGTTTGCTTTCATGGCTTGTCGTACTCTGACTTTCCCTCTTATTGCGACCCGCTGCCTCATTCAATCGACAAGCTCGCAACTCCAACCCAATGTCTAACTAGCTAAGCTACATATGGCGAAAACCAAATTTTTATACATTTGGTTTGAGTGAGATTCACCGCGTCTCGGCACCACATCCCCCTCTCTTTTTACACCACTAGTTTTCAACTATTCTAATAGCCATCGATACTTTACAGCCATGCTCCTCATCCTGGTTATCTCTAGTACGGAAAGGTATACATATGTGTACATTCGTCCAAAGTAGGATAAAAAATATGTTATATGTGGCACCTTGAACCATATGTTTCTTTTAAGAAAGAAATGCACTCGATTTGATTGTTAAAATAGACCGTTGGAAATGTCCCAGAGTGCAGGGGATTTTCTGGTACCAGTCGATCCCTATCCATACAAATATCAAAAGTCTACATGTAGCTCGAGGAGTAAGGTTTGTGTGGTTACGGGGATATGAGACAAGAATATGAAGGACCCTGTTAGGGTCTGTTGGAACATAGAAATACTCTCCATGTAACCCATTAAAGAAGGCATCTTTCTACACGGTCATACTTTGTTGGGGAAGTCACCAAACCTTTGATCTAATACACACTCTAAGTATCTGTATATAGTCATACAATCATGTAAGTATACACACAGAGTTCTTAATGGCACTGAAATCCATCCCCGTGATCTTATTTAACTAGTCTGTTTCCTAACGGAAACTAAGTGCGTAAAGCGTAGACAAAGGGCAAAGTAGCTTCCGGACATGTAAAATATGACCAAGTATACAAAATACAGACAGCAATACACGATACATCAGCCATTTAAATCTATTTACAGGGTTCCACCATACTACTATCTACTAAATATGATACTTTCATATACAGAGTACATAGTAAATACTCGGATTATCGACTAGTAGTCTGATCCCGAAGATATAGATTTTCCTCTTTCGTATTTTAATCCTTCAGTATTTTACTGCTTTAAAGGACCTTTGTCTTCAGGTACTGTGGCCCTAAGCTTAGAGACTATAGTATCCCTGGATATCTACTACTACTAGCTATTTTGAGCTGTATTCTTCCTTGTCATCGGATATGACTGTTATGACCTAATCAGAAGGTATCTCCTAGCGTGAGCTGCATTCCGTAGCTTTTTCAATTGACTGGGCTGTACGGAGACTTGGGGATTACCCAGTCTACCTTTCTGTTTCTGGACCTTAGACTAGAACTCAGTATTATGAATAAATGCACATACTATATACAACTACATACATAAATGCTACAGGTACGCTGGTGCCCTGTTTTGAGGTCCCTAGGGCATCTAGACGTTTACAATCCGTTCTTGGTGTTCAGTCAGCCAGACTATACTCTCGATCACGTACTCTTATATAAGTGTCTGATAGCGAGTCGATAGAGATACCCTAATAGCAGAAAAAACCTGTTCGGCTAAATCAGGGAGGATGGAATCTCAAAGATCAGGCCAAATAGAAAAAGAGAACGATTGATGTGGGGATCCTTGCTTCACTCAGTCTACTCGACGTTCTCGGCATATCAAACCACTCGTAGCAAAATCGCATCAGAGGTGTGAGGATGCGAGACAGAGGGTATATACCTCAGTCTTAGTGTCAGGATGGTATCCCAAATCAGCTATGCTGATGAAACTGGCCGGTGACAATTGATACGCTTGGACTGACCTTCGAGGCAACCCGAGAGTATAGAATACGGAAGAAAGGACGACAGAAAACTCGAGTATGCATGTGTAATGTCCCACGAGGACTTTCACTGTATTAGTGCTCATCAGCATATGGCTACCGAACGAAGAGCTTTAGAGAGAGCATGCGAAAACTCGGCTACTGTTTCGGGGTGTCTATCTCTCGGAGGATTGTTCTCCATGGTCAACCCATGGCGCGACGACTTGAAACGCTCATAGACAGATCTGAGATGCACATTAAACATAATCATTGTACATATTCTTCCATTATGACGGCCTTATTATACACTTATGCACACCCACTCTATATATCATGATATTCTATTTGTTTGCAACCGATTCTGAACTTATCAAGCGACTTGATGCTTCAGAAGCCACAGAAGTCTCGGGGTGGAGATCACTATTGAGCACATCTGCGGGGGGATCTAAGAGATTGGTTAGTATTATGAAACCCATTCCCTCGGGGGCATCTTCTTTACTTACCAGTCCTAGAGGACGCTTGGTGCTCCGCAGAATCCACCTGCTTCACTTTGCCCGCCTCGACCTGGGCCCTAGACAATCCAAGGAAGTTCTTGGGAAGCCCCATTGATGCAAGGAAGCCAACACTCTCTTTCCACTCGAGGTCTTTTCTTTTGTTATCCCAATTGAGTTCCTCGCTCATCAAATCAATGATACTGGGAAGGGCTTCAAGTGCTGCCTCAGCGTTGAGGAATGCCAATCGAGTTCTGCGAGCAATGACATCAACGGCAGTTTGAGCATATTCATGGCGAACAGCATAGCGAACCTCGCCATCGATAAAGGGGTATAACGTAGAAATACGTTGGCCGCGAACAGGAAAGCGGGCGTTCGTCGGTGAAGACAAAGCTGCTACCTGCCAAGCGCGATCACCATATGATTGTGTTAGATGCTGGGCCACATCAGTCTCAAGACCAAAATGTTGAATGAGGTTGATGAATAGCGTTTTAGAATAGCCGTGGGCTCCAATCAAGCGAACCTGGTGTGTCTGACAAGACCCGTCAAGAACGGCACCATCAGCCACCAAGCCGCTGCCTCCAACACCACTAATATCTGGAACCTGGGAGACATGCCGAGGCTTAAGATTGAAAACACCAATCGCCTCGTCTACAGCTTCTTCTGCCATTTGGCGGTAAGTCGTCCATTTCCCTCCCGCACATGTCAACAGCCCGGACGGAGAAACAGTAATAAGATGGTTGCGAACCAAAGCTTCGGAGCTCTTCACTTTAGGATCACGAACCAAAGGTCGAATACCAGACCATGCTGCCAGCACATCACTCCGCTCAACGTTGATATCAGGGGCTATGTAGCCACGGACTTCTGATAGAATCCAGTTGATGTCCTTTTCAGACGGCTCAGGTTGAGTCGTGATTTCGGTAGGTTGATCAGTAGTCCCAGCAATTGTGTTACCCTGCCATGGAAGGAAGAAGATAACACGGCCATCGGACGTGGATGGGTCAATGAGACCCATGTTCGAAGGACTATAATATCCAGGTAATATAACATGAACCCCAGAACTAGGTGCAACAATTTCTTTCACGTCAGGTTCGTCCATCTTCCTGATGGAGTCAGTGAAGGGACCGGTCGCATTGATAATGCCTTTGGCCCGTATAGTAAATTCTCCTTCCTCTTGTCCATTCTTTCCTGGTATGATATCTTTCACTCGTGCCCCGTTCAGCTTGCCCGAGGCATCTTTGGTGAGGCCAGTGACCTGCATGTGATTCACAACAGTGCTTCCATACAATGCAGCTGTCATCGCAAGAGACACGTTCATTCGAGAGTCGTTGTGAGCGCCATCTGTATATGCTATCAGTAATGCTAAAGTGTTGATAAATTCAACAAGCAGCGTTCCTAATGAAGAACATACCGTAGTAAACCATGGCACCAATCATATTATCTTTTCTCAACATAGGAAAGGCATCAATAGCCTTGCTTTTAGGCAGGAAATAGGAGCTCTCAATTCCCTCTGACCCAGCCAAGTAGTCATAAAACTTGGTACCAGCCCAGAAATAGGGAGCTTGCCACCACTTCTGAACGGGAACCATGATAGGAAGCCAGCTGGAGAGGTGAGGAGCAGTGTTCAAAAAGTATTTGCGCTCCCTTAAGGCTTCCTTGACAAGTTTGTACCTATGTGGGAAGTCAGTTTCCATCCTATAGCATGTCTCACTTTTTAAAATTATTCATAAAACTGACTGGTTGTAATCCAGTTCCCATACAGCCTTTTCCAGGTAGCGGACGCCGCCGTGGACCAGTTTCGTGCTCTTACTACTTGTCCCAGAACTGAAGTCGTCTCTTTCGACAACCGCCACCTTTAAACCTCGTGTCGCTGCGTCCAAGGCGATACCTGACCCAGTGGCGCCAGCACCGATAACAAGGAGGTCATACACATCTGAATCATCACCACTGGAACTGCGCTTCAAATCCTGAATCTGTTCCAGACGCGACTTAATTGAGGGAAAGCTCGGAGGAACAAGTTTTCCCTCGTGATAGCCAGGCGGTGGTACGGCAGGAGCTTCCGAGCCAGGGATGTTGCGGGGACGGTAGGAGATGTACAGAACACCAGCTCCTGCAGCCGCTGCAGCCGAAGTATAAAGCAAAGGTCGCAAGAGTCTGCGGGAATGACGAGCAGCCATTATGTCAAGGGATAAGCTATGTCAGAGGTCCGGCGAGATAGTTGAGGCCACGAGGTTTCCTAGTAAATCAACCCCAGAAGTGCAGGAAACAAGCGTTAACAGAAACTGTATACAGAGCACGTATTTGCGCAAACCTGTCTCTGTTCTTAACGTGAGTTAATGGTTTGACAAGGCTCGAAATACTGAGCGTGGAAGAAGTTTTTTCGACAATGACTTGGAAATGGTATTTACGTACCTAATACTGCTCGGGGAGACAAATGGTTGTCAAAACAGAGTGAGCAGGCAACGAAAGAATTGAAGAAGTAGGGGGTTGGAGTTCGAAGGAAAGGAAACAGGATGGATCGCTTGGAAAGGGAGTAGGATGGGAAGAGAAAGCCCAAATAACTAGAGTCGGAGACAGTGTGTAATTGGGGAATGCGCGGTCCCGAGATGACGGACCGGGTAACCTTCCAGTCTTTCTCGTCTTCGTCATGCGTCATGGGCATTTCCTTACAAGAATATCCGGGAATGGTTGGAGGCAGGACGGGGGCGGGTCCAGATGACGGCAACACGGCGCAAATCAGATTGTCCCACCAATGAAAAGCTCGGCAGCACCGGGGCCTGGGTGGAACTCACTAGTACATGATATAGGCGTCGTTCCCGAACTCCGTGCCTCCATGTGACCAGCAAAGTTTTGTGGCCATTACCATTCCTGTACTTAGTACACAACAGCTTCGGGCGGTCCAGGCCCTCGAGCCCAGAATGATCCCCAGCACATGACCCCTTGTTGCATAGACTCTGGTTAATAGAGATCGACTAGCGGCAGACTGGATATCACGCGATTATTGTCTGGGACAGTACTCCGTAAATGACAAACCCATTATCATACCTATTTACCAAGTATGTCGATAATTGGCAAGAAGCTTGATCCCCAGTACGGGACTAGTGGCGCGTGTTCTATATATAGTGAAAGTTGTGCTCGCGATCGGTATACATAGGACTCATATCGTATAAAAAGGAAAAATGACGAAGGAAGAAAGAGGTAAAATTCCATAATCTCCTGGACAAGGCTGGGGCCGGGCAGAGCATTACGTGGTAGTTACTAGGTAAGTAGTACTAGTATGCTGATTGGAAAGTTGATTTTGTTTGGCTTTATCGATTTCCAAGGCCGTGGCTACGGGAGATTTATCCACTTATCCAGCCAGACCCTGACAGTGGAGTATCTCCCAGGTATGTATCATTGTATACTCATTACTACTCATATGCACCAGTCACCGATAGTGTCCGCTGCAATGGTGTTATCGCCAATTATCTGTAAAGTATGGATACATTCACAATAGTATGGTATTGATATTGTCGAGGGTGAACATTGGGCAAAAAAAAAAAAAAAAAAAAAAAGGAAAAGGACCACAGGAAGAGATCGTCGCGATCACCTCCAGCGCATTCACTCTAGGGCCTATAAACTGCTAATGGCGGCAAGAACATCACTGCCCACATCATCATTTTCCATAGTCGGGTTTATACATACCTAGCAAAGCTCATAGAGGAAAGGATGTATGAACACATGCACTACAAAAATGGGCCTAGAACTCCCCTAGCATACCTCAGGCACCTAGTAGGAAACATTTCTAGATGCAGCCGACAGAATTTGGATTAGTGCAAATTTTCATACATGAAGTATACATTTGTGCAAAACTAGGCCATGTGGGTTCAATATGTGTCATTATTTTGGTCTCTAATGCTCATCACTATAGATCCAGATCGATGCCTATCTACTAGTCACATTGCACAGACCTGTGCTACAGCACAACATACATAGTCTCAGGAGGATATCAGGCCCCAATATTGACAACACAGATTAAGGTGTATGTTCACCGATTTTACGCACTTATATCTCTTATCCGGGAATTGGCTGTTGGCGGAAATGTTCCGGGTGCGGAATTCGCTCGGCTGTAGTAACAACAGATGCATCAATTCCGCGATGAATATCACATCGTTCTATGCTATACCCGAAATACTTCCTCTATGTAGAAAACGTGGGGTAGATTCGAGCTCATAGACCCTACTTACCTATGTCTAACAGAACGGAAAATTCCTCCTTTACGGCATGCGAGGACTTTCTACATTTAAGGCCTCATGGACGTGTGACATCTCCCCGACTAACTACGACAATAGAAGCAAAATTCAGATAGTCCAGCATGGCCATAGCAGCAACTCTGTCCTCCATACAGCAAAGCCTTATTCATACCCCTCTACAGTCAATATCTATAGCAGCCCTTTTCACCGCTTGCCTTTACGTCGTTGTCAATGAATTCATCCGTGCTTCCTCTCGTGTTCCAGGATTCAAGGGGCCTCGTGGTCTACCTTTAATTGGGAACATCGCCCAAATTCGCAAGAACGCCGCTGAACAGTATCGCATGTGGTCCAAGACCTACGGACCCGTTTATCAAATTCAGTTGGGGAATATTCCGGTAATTGTTGTGAACTCTGCCGTCTCTGCAAAGGCAATCTTTGGGCAGAATGCACAGGCCCTAAGTTCAAGGCCTGAGTTTTACACCTTCCATAAGGTATATTTGGCCCGATATCTATTTCTCACCATGTACAATATTGACAGATTTCATTACAGATCGTGTCCAACACTGCTGGCACAACCATCGGGACTTCCCCGTACAGTGATTCGCTGAAAAGACGTAGGAAGGGTGCCGCCTCAGCCCTTAATCGACCCTCTGTGGATTCCTATGTCTCGCATCTGGATGCAGAGTCCAAAGCATTCGTGGTGGAACTTCTTAAGTACGGAGAGGGTGGGAACGTACCGGTGGATCCCATGGCGATGATCCAACGCCTCAGTCTGAGTTTGGCTTTGACACTCAACTGGGGTGTGCGTGTGGTCTCACAGGAAGAGGACTTGTTCAACGAAATCACTCACGTGGAGGAGGAAATAAGCAAATTCAGGAGCACCACAAGCAACCTGCAAGATTATATACCTCTCTTGCGGCTGAACCCTTTCAATACTAACTCGAAGAAAGCCAAGGAGATGAGAGATCGTCGAGATAAATACCTTAATGGACTCAACCGTGATCTAGACGACCGTATGGAGAAAGGAACCCATAAACCCTGTATCCAAGCCAATGTCATCCTTGATCAGGAAGCGAAATTGAACTCAGAAGAACTTACCTCTATCAGCTTGACTATGCTTTCAGGAGGGCTTGATACGGTTACTACGCTTGTGGCTTGGAGTATCGGTCTCCTTGCCAAACGCCCAGACATTCAAGACAAAGCCGCAGAAGCGATTCTGAATATGTATGGCCCTAACCAACCAATGTGCGATGCTGCGGATGACCAGAAATGCGCATATGTTGCTGCGCTGGTAAGAGAGTGTCTAAGGTTCGTCATCCCTGGTAGCCCGAATTGAGTGGGTCAACTAAGAAACGCCGTATAGGTACTTTACGGTCCTTCGTCTGGCTCTCCCTCGGACATCGATCAGAGATATTACCTACGATGGCAGTACAATTCCTAAGGGAACGGTTTTCTTTCTAAATTCATGGGCTTGTAATATGGGTACGTAATATATCTTTATTCCTTTGACTTGACCTTTTATCATCTATTGAGGCCTCACCTAAATAACGCTACACCGTTTACAGATCCCGATACCTGGAGCGACCCTGAGGAGTTTAGGCCAGAGAGATGGCTTGAACAACCCGATGCACCTTTGTTCACCTACGGGCTAGGTTACCGCATGTGTGCAGGCTCACTCCTTGCTAACCGTGAACTATATTTAATCTTCATGCGCACCATTAACAGCTTCAGGATTGAACCATATGACGACATCGACTGGCACCCAGTCCATGGCAATTCAGATCCCACAAGCTTAGTGGCAATCCCGAAGAAGTATAAGGTCAGGTTTATTCCTAGGGACAATAAAGTGCTTGAGAATGTTCTTGCCTCGGCGTCCCCAATGAAGCATGTTATATGAGCGTGGTCTTTGCGGAACGGATGTTTTATGCTGATGTAGATCTTCCGTGGAGATGGAAAACAAGTTGCGTCTTTGTCCCTTTCCTCTCTTTTATTTTATATTCCGCCTGTTCATCCAATTTCGAGCATATTATAAACCATCATTGATATTTTACTGTGCGTAACAACAGAAGCAGTTCTGCTTTCCCCCTTTATTTCACATGATAATCAAAGGCACCAGTCCTATGTTATAATAATTGTTGAAGACTTGCAATCAGCCTTGTAATCCTTATTTAACAGCTATTGGATAATTATGTTTACATTGCGAAGATACGCTCGGCAACGAAAGATATGGAGAGGCTATTCCCAAAAGGTAAGGGAGCAAGGTAGCCTCTTTATTCAATACAGAAGTGTTATGCAGCTTCTGCAGACCATATCCTTTAACTAGTCTCGCTCCACAGTTATGTGTTTGTGATGTTTAGACAAAAAAGAAAACAAAGTGGCGCCCACACGCAAACCGCGTACACAAGGGAGATATATAGGAATGTAAGAATTATATTTTGTCTATCCGCCAATAAGGTCTCGAAATAAGTTCAGATGTGCAAATTCACGAGTATGGTAATCATCGTGAAGCCTTATGAAGCTATTCGTCTCTTCAAGTCGCGAACTTGGTCAAAGCAGCTTGCATAGTCACGCAATTGATTTTGAACTCGGTCTGAGATCGTAGGGTCTTGTGATAAGTTGCTTTTGAGTGTGTAAAGAGAAGTTTCAGAAGACGATGGCGAGATCATCCATGGTGATGTAGAGAAATTATTATATGATAAGATTGAGTCCCCAGTATGGCCCTGGACAGTACTAGCTCGAGAGGCTTCGGTTGCAATTTCTGTTGTAGTCCTCTGAGTCCATTGTGGATAGACCGGAGTACCAGTCACCACAGCCTCCTTCGTGAGATCTATCTCGGCCAGTCTACAGGATTGAGAACAGTAAGGTCCCCCCAATGTCTGTCTATCACAAACTAGACAAAAGTCAAGAGACCATCCCGTGGCCATTCTGGTCTATATGACCTTGAAGAATCGAGGTGACAAGCGATTATAGAATAGTCTGAGAAGGAGTGGTATCAAGTCACAATAGTTGGACACACAGGTATCAATCGAACGCCGATCTTGGAAGCGGAGGGGTAACAGTGGCCTTCAGGTGCGAAGGCAACGACGGGGGAAGGGTGGGGTTAAGACTATGCAGTCATCTTAAATCACTCAGACGCCGGTTTCATCTTGGGTCGTTGTTAGGCGTTGGTTGGTCCTATTGAGATTATGTAGGATGACTATGTATGTGTAATGAATAGGGATTAGTGGAAGGACGGCCTAGATTAAAGCAGAGGAATGAATGACAAAGCGTGGTGCTAACAACTGTGACAAGTAGAAGGATGAGCAAGAAAGGGCAGTTTAGCACGGAAGATCTTTGTAGCCATAATGCGCCATATAGTCTATTATTGTACAAGTTATTAGGTGCTTGATATTATCTACCGAGTCATACCCCTGTGGAGAAGGAGGGGTGAGCTAAAATTAATCAAAGCCCTAGTGGTACAGTTATTTATCTATGCCCAGTACAAGTACAGTACTGAGTACACAAGGTGCATGCTTAGGTAGCAAGGGAGAAGACCCCGGTCACAATAGATTGTAGATATATCCTTTTTTTTTTTTTTCTTAGGACTTCAACTTGATGTGTGTTAGGCAATCAAAGATCAAGGGAGGGGTTGTGGTTTCGTTTATACACAAGGTAATCAGGTCATAGCAGTGGGCAAATAATCCAGTGGTATCACTATTTCGTGAAAAAGAAACCCCTGAGCAGCTGTTCAATGAAAAAAAGTCTAATTTGACAGGATGCCCCACAAGATTGGATGAGCAAGATCACTGATTGGAGCGATATACCTACTAATTTGTAAGGTGGAGAAACACACCATCCTCTCCAGGTGTCCTCCATACTACTACAAATGACAACATTCATGATCACGCGTTCTGCATAAATTGGATTGGGGTTAATTGTGGGGAGTAGTTGACGGGTGATCATCTAGGGAGTACAGAGTATGGTGGGTAGATGCGACTAGCTGCCCCTAGACTGGGTATGGTCAAGAAAGTGGATGTAAACTACTCCGTAAGGCAGATTTAATAACTTATGTATCGTCCAAGTCACTTATTCATATGATAAGGTAGGTCATTTCAACTTAACTTAGGACATGTGAATTTTCAAAAATTCACCACTAACCTCTGATTGTAAAAGGCGGGCCAATGTCCTTCTTGCTCTTACCCGGGTCCCATTCGAAAATGTGTAGTGACATGGTGGTAAATGCAGCCACGTTAAAAGAGCAGATTAGATAAATAAATACATACTATTGCCACGCTGTGTTTGAGTTGTGGGGAATTCTACGTTGTGGCTTCAGTGATACTCGATCAGTCTGCCTCTTTTCCCTATACCATCAATACATAATATGATATATTACAATGGCACCAGTGTGTCAACAATACCTTTATCCATAAAGTTCAGCAACAAGCACCATACGAGGTGTGATGCTGCTGAAAATTATAAGATATAATGTTGCAGTTATACTCCGATGTAATGAGTAGTCTACACACTTAATATAGGGTAACTGTTCTGTTACAGTGTCAGCTTGTATCAGTGTTACACTGCCAGGCATTTATATATCTCCTGCATTTTCATCTGTGGCATATGATTATTCTCTCGACTATAGAATTGCACAGTCATGTGGCTGCAATTGTTACAATAGAGTTTGACCCCTGCACAGTGTACGGCAAGCCATCACAGCCGCTCCGCCATGATTCAAAACTAGGGTAACACAGGATAGCTTGAAACAAAGAACTTTCATTCTTCTTTCCCCAGGCTTCTATCTCCTTTGACTTGCCGGGGTTTAGGTGTGATTTATCATTCAATAAATTGTGCCTTAGATACAAAAAAAATATCTATTACATATATGATACACTGTCGGGATGACCTGACGGTCACTCGCTTGTTGGAAGGACACGCGAATCTTGTGTATCTGCCTCACTCAGGAGAACCCTGGGTGGGATGTAGCTTTAGTCATTCCTATTCCCTGCAGAAACACACGAATATACCCACAAAAGAGAAAGAAGGGAGGGCGATGGAGGGGGACTTGGAACAGAAGAAGCTTCCTCACTGACTCGGGAGGAAGAAACCAAAACACGAACAACCTTCACATAGTAAATTGAAGAATTCTTGGGATATGCTTGTATCAAAGAATTGTAGCTGAAGGCCCAGTACAATCTTTAACAACTAACAGTTTTGGGCGGTTTTCAAGGGTCACAAAATGAAACAATGTTGATTTGCTACTTTGATTAATTTTTCACTTCATAAGGCCCCAAATGTTCCCTAGTCTCCTTTACCAAAGCATAGACAGGTCAAAGGGAATGCATATCGAGCTTTCTCATATTAGACAGACAATGGTGTGCATGCCGGCTAAGTTACGCAAGAATTGCATACTCTGTCTTAGTGTATATGATCAGGTATATAGGAAGCAACTCGCTTAACCACAAAGCTGGCTAGTTGTCTATTTCAGCCAGAATGAAATACACAATGGTGCACCCGTCCATGCCGGTGTTCCAGAACAATAACAACAATTACAATGCGCATGTTGCATTCCTGTTGGTTGAGTCACACTATAGTGAGTCCGACACTGCATTGAAATTATATAGCGAGCGCTCGCTATCAGTTTCGTTTGGCCTTGTGTCAAGGCGTTCATCATTTTGAGCGGCGATGCTAGAAGATGTCTAACTCATAATGGCCACTGCTGGTTTAATAGAAGCCGTGCATTACTCTCCCGCCATTGCTGCTTGATCTGCTGGAATTCGGACTAGAGTCGCAGGCATGGGAGAATCACCTGTTTTATCATCCTTAGACAAGGGGTTTGGATTTTGCATTATCGGTCTTTGAACAGTTACAGCTTCTGCCGTTCAGGGAATCAAGGGGTCAGCAATGGCAACCGATGATACAGATTTTAGCGGTGCTAGCACAGGTGAAGAACAAGGTGGTGGGCTTACTGGAGGCCATGCTAATCGATCGCAGAACATTGTCCCAGTTAGCAAGAACGCATGCAACAGCTAGACTCGAGAAGAGAGCAAGCATTAGCATGAAGAGCGCGTAGTTGATCAATCCACTGAATATTATTCCCTTCGAGGAATCACAAGAGCTGCCTTTGATGCTAAAATAGCAGCATGTGCAAACCAAATTCAACGAACCTTCTGTGCCATCCTTAAGCGTCCCTATCTTCTCTTCTAAGACTTGCATTTGCATTGCTAGCGCACAGCTCATATCGCGAAGTTGCTTCAGATTATCTAGCTCGGCCTTCTTCGACGCAATCCGGGCTGTCAGGGCCGACGATTGCTGCTGGGGCGCAGCATGATGAGTACTTGGTTGGCGAAAAGACGAGCCTGTAGAAGACATTGACGGACGCATCGATGTAGGTCGCGACATGTAGGTCATTTCAACAAGGGGGTTCGAGTTAAGAACTGGTCGAACGAAACACCTGGAAGATATTTTCTTATCTTCCAAAGCGAATGATAACTGTAGATTGTCAGAGAGGTGAGGACTATGGAGTGTAATAAGTCGTAAAGTCCGTCTATGCCTGCCTAAACAGCCAACCCACTTTACCCGCTAATCCTAGTCGGGACAAATATCAACAACTTAGTAGCACTCTGTTTACATGCTCTTTCAAGTAACCCACCCACAGGGAAACTCTCCACCAACCACCTAACGACCAGAACGCGGTCTTCTTAATTCATCATAGTCCAATCTCATATCAAATATTCATCACGTTCCCCCGCAACTGGCCTGGTCAGCGAAGGGAAGGCAAGGCAGACAGTGCATTCTGCATCGGCTTATGAAGCATGGCTCGCTTAAACGAATCGACAACCTCGACGGAATCCGTTGAAATTTGTGAGTTATATGCATCACTCCTGGGCCACTAGTGCCCGGAAAGCCGCCGAATGTTAACCTCTTCAATACCCCAGTGAAACGGCGATTCGTGCGCCAGAATCGTGAAATTGCCCGAGTGAATTCAATACAGTCCCTTCGAATCCGCAGCCTCGAGTCCGAAGTTTCGCATCTCCTTTCAGAAAATGTTTCCCTCAGGGAGCGAGTCATCAACCTTAGCCAAGAAATAGAGAGATTCGAGGCGGCCAAGTTGTTTCAGGATGGAGTCAACAACATCAAGGCGAGACTTGACAATAAGTTGATGGAGCTAGGAGGCTTAGTGGCTGATTTGGGCGCATTGCCGCGCAGATTCAACAAGTCAGCCGGCGGGATAACAGAATTTGCATACCAGGAACGACCAGGCTTACATTCAAGACATAACATAGCTGATCTTGAAGCTTATCCCGTACCCGAGCAAGACGGTAGGCTTCCGGTTATCCTTGAAGACAAATATTATCCACGAAAGACATTAGAGTAAGTGGGGCATGACGTTTCTCACGGAGCAATAAGAGCTTATACTGAAAGTCAGCAGGCCGCAGGAAATGCAAGAAATGATGAACAACAATATGGACGTCGCGCCATCTTCAGGCCAAGAGGAACCTTCGGTATCCCAAATAGACAGCATGGCCGATGGTCCATCCTCGACATTGTTTGAAGGAGTTACTAATACCCAAGAATTTGACGGCTTCCCAAGTCCTAATGAGGTTCTTCTCCCCCCAACTCTTGAAACAAGAAAAAAGAGGAAGGCTGGGTCCGGCAAAATACGCGAAGATATCTACGACATGAGCCCCGGAGATTTTCCTGCACGAAGAGAGTCAAGTTTCTTGCTAAATCCAGGTTCGAAACGTAAATTCTCCGGTAGTGACGATGGTGATTTTGCACCAGCACTCCCAGATGAAGATGATTTCCAATTCACTCGACCTACCCAGTTGCCACAATTGACGCATGATCAATTACTACTGATACGCAGCGATCAGTCTCCAGTCAAGAGGCAGATCTCCCAGAAGGAAGGCTCTAAGAGTGATAGCCGACCTAAGCGGAAAGCTCTCGAGCCGAGTAAGTTACAATTAATCGCTCTTCTATGAACAGTGCAGCTAACTTAAATACAGAGAGCACAAACTTGTCTTCAATCGAACCGCAAGCTACTGGAGTCAGTGAACAAGATTGTAAGACCCCAGCAAGAATGAACAATGCGATCGACGAGAATGGACTGATAGCCCCAGCCCATTTGCAGGAGCATATACGTGGTCAAAAAATAGTCCCGAACGAGAGGTCACATTGCAATGGTTCGGATAAGACTAAGCAAGAAGAGGGTGGGAATGAGCATTTTCGAAATCACACTCACGTGTCTGAAGACACATCACGCTCATCTTCGCCACCTGATGAAGTATCTCGAGTACAACACAGCCTTGAGACATCGATGTCCCTACCTAATACTTCATCTCGACCCACGAGGCGCCAGAGATCTGTCGTAAGCTACGCAGAACCTAATCTAAGGGATAAGATGAGACGTCCTACGGATGAGTTCATAGCAGCAGTCGGAGGCGACCATCATCCAAGGAGGACATCCGGTTCTAGTTCTGTACGAACGACTTCAAACGATGAATTTGACGAGCGTAAAAGTGGCAAAATCAATGCAAGAAAAAAGCGAGACTCAGACATGGAAGGCAGAGACCCTAGCGCACTTCCGACGGCCTCTTCCGGCAACCTTCCTAGACAACCAGCGAACATGATGTCTCGGAAACAAAGGAAGGCTTCACTTGCAAGTAAAGAAGATGCACCACCTGTCAATGGTCCTACGAATGATATAAACGAAGCCCAGGCCTGTCGGATAGTTGGGGGCCGCGAGCTGAATGGGGTTTCAAGTGACCAACCTATGACCAGGGTACGAACGGGAAGCACAGGGAAGCACGGATCACCGACTGCAATGGGCCCTAGTGACATGCCGATGGAGCTATCCAAGAGTATACCTAGAGCAGCAGCAGTTACCAGCAGGCTGTCCCGACGGCACTCCTCAAACCCCAGATCGTCTGGGCGGGATCATCATTCCCCAGAACACGAGATGAGTGTTTCAGGTACCGAGAAAGAAAGTATGACAGGGTTTCGAGCTTGTTTAGGAGGGTCTAATGATGCATCAGTTGGGAATATCAGCGAACCGAGGGCATTCATGTATGCCACAGAAGCTCCTCCATCAGCCATGGGGCTAGCAATACATGCCAGGCAGGTAAGGCGCGTGCCACGCGCTGGCAGGAGAAAAAGTATGATATTGTGATCAGTTAATCATGTTCGGGGGCAATCTGCATCTACATTACCCCTGATCGAAGTTTGTTAGACTATTAGAAAGATACCCCCTTCCGTGTTTAGGCTACTTCCGTATGAATCCACATCCGTTAAGGAACTCAATGACCACTTGACTCCTTCACTACTAGTTGGGACAGAGCGCTACGAACAAGAACACTTGTCTCAGCCCCATCGCCTTTTCGTTGTCAACCAGCTGAGAAGACGGATCTCTTGGGAACGACTGTAATGGCTAACTCTACACAACGTATACTGACAAGATGCGAGAGCTGCTACACCAGTTAAATTTTGCTGAGTATTGCAAATTAGACCGACCCTTTGCCATAACCACGAAGGCTATATCCTTTAGCGCCCTTTTGTCGTCTTAGGCATCTTCTCGTACGCATTGGGACTTGGTCTCCTCCGCTTAAGCTTTCTGTTACCGTGATTTGGGCAACGTGTTAGCCGCCCTCTCTCCCTGTCATGTTCAGATTCTTGCTCATGGGAATGATTGTCGGTATTATGATGCACCGACGAACGGTCCAGGCTGTTCCTGGGATTATCTATCTCATTATCGCTATCGGGGTCAGATGAATTAGAATCTGACTCTGACTCTGAACTACTTTCACCGACAGGACGAGCTTTATGGTAGATGCAGCATACTACGCGTCGATACCGATTCACCGCGTCAGTTAGCCTTGGATGACAAGGAAAGCACGATGCAGAAGGTCACGCCGTTTGTAGTGTAGCAGTACTCACCTTTAGAGCTCCTTTTCCCCATACCTTCGTTATCTATCACATCCTCACTCCATCGTATATGCCGGTGCAAGCCTCTGCCCTCAGTGTTAGACTCGGCAGTTGGTTCGTTTTCTGCTCTTAGTCTGAGTGTGGCTGGAACTCGAACAGTTGCTGTATTGTTATGCTGTTGAGGCACCGATTCAACCTGGGATGTCCCACTTGGTGCTATTTGTCGGGATCTAGACATCGTGGGCAAAACTCATATGGTAGTAAAGAATATCAATGCGTAGGACAATTGCTTCAAGAAGAACTCCGATCGATAAGAGTCTAAGCCACTGCAGACTGATATGGCGCCGAGGTTAAGGCACTGTGCAAAGCTAGGCTAAACTTATTTAAAACTATCCCAACATCGTCGTTAAGACGTCCTTGATTGGCGGCTCACCGCCTACATTAGTTCATCTGTTCCAGATTGAAGATTGTCATAAGCAACAAAAAAAATAAAAGAGCCTTAGGGTTGATACATCGCATATGAACTTGAAGTTTGTGATGTGCAATTATATCTACTTCATAAAGACTCGCTGAACGAATACATGCAGCGAAGGATTTTACAAACAACTTGGAAGGGCAATTTCGTCGCAATGGCATAGGCAATCACTCACCATGAAAGCGGCTCGATAAGTGAGCTGCACCTAACCGGCTAGAGATCCAATATTGATTGCATATAACAGTCAGACACTAGAGAAGGAGTGAAGAAATACGGTGTAGGTTATCACCTATGGCCAAGAGATGAAGAAAAATGGGAAGATAATATAAAACGCATCAGATCTGGCAAAAAGGCCGGATTTTGACCTGTTCAAAGCCCGTAATAGGCCCAGCCGTCCAGCCGGTCTTCCCCTAACATAGCCATCGGCTTTCTCGAGTGCTCTGTGGCGCCGGTGGCTAGGAATGGGGCAACCTCACAACGCAATTCCCTGTCTAGTCATAGTTCATCCTCTTGGTCCATTTCTGACGGTTTCAGAAGGCCCCCAACTTTCATTGCACGATCTCGTTCTGCAGCCTTGGCATCTCGCAGTGCCTGCTCTCTCTCTTCTGCGTAGAGCTCTGCATTGTCCCCAGCGAATTCCTTCAGTGAGATCAAAAAGTCCCGCAAATGAGTCTTGAATTTATTGAAATCATCATTAAATGCAAACAGCCCTATGACAAATTGCTTGATCTGAATTCTGTGGCAAAGTCAGCAAATCTAAGTTTAATTTGCAAAGCCAGTGATATAGAACATACTCCTGTAGGTTCTTAAAGGCGTTTTGCAAAAGGTTCGCAACATATTCCTGGAGGAAATCCTTATTCGAAGTGCCTAGTGGTGCTTGTTCCGGGGAGTAAATAGGATCTTGCACCTTTCCAGCTTCAACGAAGTAGAACATACGCGACAAGAGCATCGCCTGAGACTTGAATCCTGTAACGTAGTTAGTAACACCTCACCTCTAGGCTCAGGTTGTTGTAGATACATACCGGCTTTATGGTCACTATCGGTGAGCACGAAGAAAACATCTTGCAGGATGGGAATGTAGAATTGGCGGAAGAAGATGTTCGAAGTTTGAGTATCTGTCTCGGCCATATTGTTCATAAGCTCAAGACACATTGTGAGACCAGTATTCTCGACCTCGCGATTGTCGTGTTTGCTGGCCCACATGCAAGAGTCGATTACGAATTTGAATTGCGTAGCGTCAAGTTTGAGCAGGGCTGGGAAACAATATAGATTGATCGCTTGGAGCAGCTTGAAAAATTGGACACGGTGCTCCGGGTATTCGTGAAAGTCTTTGTTGATCATTTCTAGAGTGCATTCGAACACACTCTCCATAATAAGCGGAACCTTGTCTTCCATCAAATTCTTGAAGTATGTCAGTTTGTTGTTGCACCCAAGTTACCCATAAGGGTCTAGAAAGCACGCCAGAGCCAAACATACATGTAGCTTATGGATGATAGTTGTCATGACATTCAGAACCTCTGCTTCGCGTGCATCAGGAACGTTACGATTATAGTCCACCAAGACGGCGTCGAGCAGAGGCGGGACCATATTTGCATTGACCATTTCTAAATCGTCCGCTTTCTGGACATAAGTGTCAATGAGTTTGAGAATTTCCTTTTTGATCGTTCTAAGGCCTCGGACTTTCGGCGTTTTTGTCGCAATTTCTCCTGTTAGACAAACAATTAGCGATGCTTCCGATAATAAAATGAGAGCAGTGTCATTCTTATTACCGTCAAGCCCAACAGCATCACTAATAAGCTGGCTAGAAGCTCGGTACATGTTTAGCATGTCATGGTAAATGCGTCCTAGTTGGGAGAAAAAGTAGGTGCCGATTGACGAACAGGCAGCGACGTTCGTTTTCATGATATTGCCAACGATCTTGATCGTCTCTCCATCTTGGAGGATCGACGGGTCTTGGTTTGCCTGGGCTATAATAGCGTCCCAGGCAGAATTAGGCAATGACATCAAATTCTCAATCAACCGGTCTTGGAGGCCCTTTTGACCCTGTGCAGAGATCATATAACCACATGCTTCGTAGAAAGTATGGACCTGCTGCGGCGAAAGGTCACAAGTAATTTTCCTCATGCTTCGAACAATTTCCTCAATGAACGGCTCGTTTTCGCCAGGCTGAAGGGCAACAAAATGACGTCTGCATTTATTGGCGATCTTTATAAAGGTGTCGCAAGCCATGTCCTGAACACCTATTGGAAGTTAGAATACCGGTTTCTAGTAAAGTGATTGAATAGCCGACCTTCATGTGTCTCATGCATAAACTCGAAAAGTTTGTTGACAACTGTCTTCAAAAACTTCCAGTGAGCCTTCAAAAAGCGTGGATACTGTCCCACAATGTACATGATGTTACTGGCCACAACAGCTTTGTTATCTTTTCCACGCTTCATTTCTGTGAGACCCAATAGGTCCTTGATAACGGTAACGAGAAAGCGCTTCTCAGTTTCTTCGTTCATGGCTCCGGAGATTGACCCAATAGCCCAGCAAAGGGTATTACAGTTGGCCCATGACCATTCAGACCCATCGACTTGTTTAGCCAATTTCTCGATCATGATATTCTCCGTATCAACAACGTCGAGATGTGTAAGGTAGACTAAGCACTCCCGGATTGTCTTGTAGAGCTGGATCGTATCACTCTCTTTGACGAACTCGCGGACGATTTCGCCTTCATCGTTCTCGACGATCAGGACCTCCTCTGGACGTACCATTTTCTCTATCATGACTGTACGCAGACTCGATAAAACTTCTTCATACTTGTGTTTGCGGAGTGGGTAATTGGCCAAGGTGCTCGGATGCGGCGCTCCACCGTTTGATAAGCCGCTGACACCCATGCTCACCAAAGGATTGATATCGGTGATTGGGAGTTGCTGCATCTCTTCATAAAGCTCTTGCACGAGTCGCGTCCAGTACTCTAGGCAGATCTTGAAAACTTCTCTGTCGTCAATTTGGCTAATGCGGATAAGGTAAAAGTGCGCATGAGTGAGATAGTCACGATTTGGTAATTTTTCAACAAGCTAAGTAATGGGGTAGGGGACAAGAAATATCAGCGGCTCTGTCAGCGTTTGGGAGCGGGGAATTTCTGAAACTTACATTGAGATGAGCGCTGAAGAAACTGGAAAGGAAAAGAGCGAGGTTGAGTACAAACTCTTGATCTCGCGAGTTGCTCTTGGCATATGTCTGTTTCAAGTCCATTGATAGTGGGATTATCTTGGAAACTATCGTCAATGTCTCTGTAAACATATGTACCAGCCTCTCATCGTAATTATACGGGTTACCGATCTGCAACCCGCCAATTTCCGTCAGACATTTGAGGGTCACATTGCGAAATTCGGGAACGTCCAAAAATCGTGTCAGAAGGGTGCTTATGATAGGTGTTTCAAAGATATATCCCAGAGGAATCCAATTCAAAAAGCGTAGAAGGGTCTCAAGGGTAGCTTTAATCAAGCTTGGTTGGTTTGCAGTATTAAGCACTTCAGAGCACAACTGGAAGATCGACGAGAATTCCTGTGTCATAGAAGTCTTCAAATTCCTCGCTTTTACGGATGTCATCTGGTCTTGAGAGAAGTCGAAGACTTCCTCCGATAGCAGGCGAAGGATTGCCATGTTGTTCTCACAAATGGAAAGGCTTGTGTGGCAGGACGAGATAATTTCGTTGATAAAAGTCGGCCAATTGTGAGGCCATTCCTGCTTCAAGATGGAAACGAGAACCAGATTTAGTTTGTTCAAGAACGCTCGCTCGCTCCTTAACTTTTCTTCCGAGCCAGAGTTTTCAATAATAAAATTAACGATAAAATTTCGGATACCTGTATTCGTCAGACAAACCCAGGCAGACCCGGATATGAAGTCCTATCATGGGATTACCTAGACATTGTTCCCTCGGTAAAACCTTCCATCGAGTCATGATTACATCGTCGAGAACTTGGAGAGCAAGATCTAACATCATCAGCACAATCCAAATCAACATGCTCGAGGGTCGATATCGCACATTTGGTCTGTGGATACGATGACTCCTGGAGAATATTCCCTACAATTAACCAGGCATCCGGATTTTGCTTAAACTAGCAATCCGAGATAGGTCAGATATTCCTTTTCCTGCGGTGTATATCAACGACTCCTTTTAGACTCACTTCTGTCAATGTCTGCTGGGCTTGCTTTTGCTGTAGTTTGCAATTATATCATCAGTGTTCTGCATCGTTGCACAGGGATCATAAGACAGATTAATAGAGAAAAATATAGGAAGCTACTGAAAGGGAAACGCAGGAATTCTTCGGGACAACACACCAGGTCTCCTTTGCCTTCGTAGAAGGCTTGGACTGTGTTGTCCAACTCCTGTATGGACACCGACATTCCGTTTACGAAGCTGGCGATACGGCCCTTTGCACAGCTTGTCGACGCGTCCCAGACACAGGCGCAGGTAAAGAGGAACCAAGTTAACTCAATATAGAATTTGCAGGTACTATGAAAGTACAGGGTAGAGCAAATGGGTGGAATGCTTGGCGGGGTCAAGAGCCTCTCTTGGAGGGGTTGGCCGGAAGTAAGCTCCTCAGAGCAAATTACTGTTTTGATGAGAGACAAAATGCCCAGGGGTGAAGTGGGGCTGTATGGCCCAGCTTGAGATGCAGGCGCGGGTTTGGAATATGGATAACCCAAGAAGGGGTAAACAAAAAAAAATCCGTGTAGACTCAACTCACTGGCGGTGTGAACGGTTGTTGCTCAAGTTATTGGAACTCTATCGGGTACGATGTAACTCGTTAGCAACTAATTACGTCCAAATAGGATTAGTCAGCCTCCCTTTTGGAAATGGCTGAGGATATGGAGCCAATGAAAATTAAAATTGATTTACGAAGGAGCTTCGAAGTGCTCTACGAGTCTATCTCAGGGTTCAATCTGGGTTTATCTAGGTCACAGCACTATACATAACCTATATAGAATCAAGAAAGCTAGGCTACGATTAAGAATAGGTACCTCTTATCATGTGCTCCTCAGAAAGCCGCGCCTTCATGTCAGCATCGTACAAGCAGTTCCGCTATTTATAACTAGGAGCGTTTAACAAATGATTACCGCCAGGATCTTGGATCTGTATAGAAAGGTAAACATAGCTAGGTAAAACAAATGAAAACATGATACAGTTTACCATCAGATCAATCCTACAAGTATTGACTATACAAGAAAAAGCTGAATCACAAAAGAGATTCCGGAGAAGTTAAGAGTGGGAAGGCGATAGATAATTACGGGAGCACTGATAAGGTAGATCACAAAACATATTTCAATCTCTTGACAATCTCCCTACATATATCCTGTACACTCCATATATATGTATATTTTTTGTTGGTGGAGACAATTGCTAATCAGGTACTACGTATGTATACTGCTAGTATGTGCTCATAAATAGTTCTATCCAGATCGGATTGGTGCTGTGGTATGGTCATATTGGTAACCGCGCCTGCAGTCTGGCGCCAATGGCGAATATCATGAGGAAGAAGACCTCTTAAGCGACCAAAATCAAGTGGGAAATACCTCCCGCCCCCAGGAAGTACTATTCAAACCGCATTGGAAGTCGGTTGGACCCACTAAACTCTACTCAGTACATAGTACACATCCCCCTGCGGCTGCTGTGCCGCGCTTCCCTCGCGGATAAAGCGGCAGCGAACCATTACAATCCAAGTGTGTCCCAGGGGCCAGCCCTCCTGGAGAATCTGTTGGTGGCGTGTCGCCTGAGCACCATCACTCACAAGCATGAGACCCATGCTAGACTAACCAAAGGCCGCTATAGCCAATCATTTTCCTTGCGCAGCCATCGCGGGATGGTCGATCGCGCGGTAACTTCAATCCAGTCACTAACCTCTCATCAGCCAGCTGGCAGCCGCATTACCATGAAGCAAGTACGGAGTAGGAACATGAGCTAATACTGTACTTTGGAATCCCCTGGTTCGCTTCTTCACCCCAACATCCCCTACCTGTACTAGCTTTTCGTTCACATTTGAGGTTAATACCTTTCCATTTACTTTTTCCCTTTTTTTAACACACCCCTCCCCCTCTTATATATATAAAAAAGAAAGAAGGAAAGGAAATGAAAGGAAAGGAAAGGAAAGGAAAGGGGGAGGAAAAGGGAAAGAAAAAAAATACTACTCGCTGCATTCAGCCATCGTCAGCTATCGCTTACCCTTTCTTCTACCAAGTAGGTTCCCTCCACTAAGTCACCAATACGGGTCATTAATAACCCCCTCTCTTTCTTGCTTTTGCCTCTTCCCCTCTCTCAGTAAATCCCAGAGTACTCACCACTACCTACGTCCGTGAATATTTACTTTCTTCTCTCCTGTTTCACCTTCTTTTAATTATTATTTTTTTTTTTTAATAGTTGAGGGGGTAGATGCATTATTCTATCCAGGTTTATTCTTACACCAGCAATCAACCACTGCCGCCACATTTCCCTCCTCTACCGTCTTCTTGTACTGTCGTTACCACCGCTCCACCTCTCGTCCTATTGACTGTATATGCCTCATCGTTGTAAATTCTTGTATCCCATAAATTCTCGTCATTGAACTCTTTCCCGTCAACCCAACCTATCCACTCCAGAAGCAAGCTATCTCACTTTGCGCTTTTTTCCCCTTTACGCTGAGGTTGATCCCCTACCTGGTGCCTTCTATATCCCGTTCCGATTTGCTGATTGCTATCTCCTACTTGAACGATACCCACGAAACAGCCCTTCTGAGCTTATGTCGAACCTCACCTGGTGCATGGCCTCGGGATAGCCGTACAGGACAATCAATACATTGAGTCTAAAAAGAATTCTTGCCGTTAATTTGGTCCTTTATATCTCTTATCTTCCATTGCGTCCGAAGAGTGAACCTGCACGCAGGGTTGCCTCTCCATCCTCGATTGATGCAACTTCTTCCAGTTCTAGTTCTAGTTGACGGCGCGCAAGGTGGAATAGTACTCCTTTGGCGAAGATATAATTGACCGCATTCCTCCCGTGTGACACTAGTTGAAAATACCGCTGCGTTCACAAGGGACTTGCGTGAGAACAATAGAGATAACTTTCCACTGCGCGCTGGAAACTAGGTGGTGGAACTTGAAGGCTTTATACCAAGGGGTCTCACCTATCAGTTGTAGCTGGACTACTACTATTACTACTACTACTACTACTATTACTACTACTATTACTACTACTACTACTACCACTACTACTACTACTACCACCACTTCAGTTACTTGCAACATGACTGTCATCACCTCCGCCTCAATAATTAACGACCACGAATCAGAGGGTTCCAGAACAGACCACAGTCCCTCTCGATTTACAGCAGTGAACGGGAAGGACTCCTTGATATCTGCGACACCGACGTCTGTTCCTGCTGTCCCTAGCTCAGCAACGGACGAAGACTCACGAGAACCCTCTGAGCACTGTGGAAGAAGCGGTTACGATGATACAACACATCGGCATGAGGAACGACTGCGTGAAAATGGAAACCTCAAGAACGACCAAGAAGATCGACGGTCACAACGATCGTCCTCGCAATGTGCTGTGTCTGTTACTAGCAGAAGCAAACGAAAGAGGTCAAGATCTGGTGAACATGAAGACGATGCTCTTTCCACCCACAGAGCTCTGAAAAGCCCAGCCTCTCACCTAAACGACACTACAAATCAAAATACGCACCCATGTACATCCAACGGAAGCACGACATCCCAGGCCGACCAGGATCTTAAGAACACGTCCCCCCTGGTGTACACCAGGCCAGAGGGGAGTGAAGATTCACGAACCTCAGCAAATACTACCTGGCATGAGTATGATGCCCAGTTGGTCAGCCAAGCACAACGTGCGCAACAGATTGATGCATCAGATGCTCAATTGGCAGAGGCACTCCAACGTGAGGCTCAGGGGCATGATGTAACTCAGAAGAATTGGACTACGGTCAGTCGCTCAATAGAAGGTACCACACAGAATGAGCAGTCTCCATCATCGTTGGCTGGGTTTTCCCAGGAGCGGCCGCAAACTGCTGTACAAGTTGCGCCAAAGAGAAAGCGCGTTTTCAGCAACAGGACTAAAACTGGGTGTATGACATGCCGAAGGAGAAAGAAAAAATGTGACGAACAACACCCTGCATGTAAGTTCCTTGTTGAATAGTTCTCTTAAGTTGGGCAACGATTTTGTCAATTGCGGTAGCACAGTAGTCTAACTCCAATGTAGGTAATAATTGCATCAGGGGTGGTTTTCTTTGTGAGGGCTATTCCTCACGGAGTACATGGCAGAAGCCGTCAAGTGGGAAAACACCAGTTCCTTTACAATCAAAGGAAGGCTATGCAGATGTCGGCAGTCAATACGTGCATGACATCGCCCAACAACATGATCGACAACAAAGTTTGACCGAACAGCTCGAGGGAGGGAAGATGCGGTCGATTGTGGTAGACGATAACGACCGCACCACCACACAGTTCAACAACTCAAGCCCAACAGGCGTTGGTTCCGGCCGTGGGTCATGGTCCAAACGGTCCTGGCCGAATACAGGCCACACCACTTATATCACTGATCATATCGCAAAGCCTGATTACCGAGATGTACCATCCATCCATGAGCTACCCCGCGAAAGTCACCCGAAAACAGATTATCAAATTGTGCCGCCGATTCGGGAGCTATCACATGGCACCGCCCATGGGAAACCAGGGGTCTCGCTTTTCCAAGGCGGAATTGACCAGCGGCCAGGTCTTGCTACTAATGTGGACACTAGCAGTCCACAAGCCCAAGCGCGAATGGCCCTGAGCATTGAACATCAGTTATCTGCACGCACCGTTCCCGGTGAAGAGACAGAAAAGGATAAAATGATACGTGGTGAACTTTATCGGCCCTTCGATATTCATCTTGTGGAAGAGAGGGAGCGCTGTAAAGTTGCGCTGTGGCGGTTCAACAATGCCTGCAATCCCGTTTCTGGACTAAGCAATAAAGAACAAAACCGCCTTCTTAAAGAAATATTAGTACCACCTACTTCGGCAGTGGGCTCACCCTCAGGTGTCCCCTCCCCTCGCCCGACGGGTTCCATCGGGCAAGGTGCGGTTGTTGAGGCGCCCTTCCAGTGCCATTACGGATATAACATTCACATTGGCGAGGACGTGATGATATCTGAGAGCTGTTTATTTGTGGACGATTGTCCTATCACTATCGGTGCCCACACGTGGATTGGTTCCAGGGTGACCATTCTTAGTTCAATGGCCCACGCAAATATGCAGGAGCGTAAAGGGTCTCAAAGCCGTTATCAAGGACGACCCGTTACGATTGAAGAAGATTGTTACGTCGGCGCTGGCTGCACAATTTACCCTGGTGTTCGCCTTCGACGTGGAGCTTATGTAGCACCAGGTGAAGTTGTCAAATCCGACATCGTAGCTTATGGGTTTCAGGGCCTTAAACCCAGCTACATGTGAGAAAACCTTTATCGCACTGCATTTATATGGAGTCACTTGAATTTCGTGTTCGATGCTATTGTCTGGGGCTGTGATATCCGCAGTTGCATGTTCTGATCATGCACTTAACACTTTCGTCGGCTTTTTGTAAACTATTCTTTCACATTCATTTGCTTAGCCCATCTTCTCGTTTCCCAGGCTTCTTCTTAGCGCCTGTCTTCTCGGGCCAGAATTCTGACCGGTTCAGGACATGTGGTTCATGCTACGAGGTTTCATGTGACAATTCCGGCCACTTTCTTAGTATATATATATTTGATGATTCATCCTGCTACTCATCTATCTACTCATCTCGCGCCCGCATGCTTTGGAGGAATTGGTATTCTTGTATCCATATAGAAGTAGGCACTTGACACCATCAGCTGATGTATCCTTGTGAAAAAAAAAAAAAGTTATTAAGCAATATATACACGTAGCATGACATTACGTTAAATAAGCAACTTAGAGAATGCCAACGAGATACTAAGGACTTCTACTCCAATAGGTATGATTCAAACACCGCGTCGCTGCCATCCATCTGGTGGATGCTTTCAGCATACTTCATCCAACCAAGTCAAGTCTAAAGCCAATCTAAAAATTCAGGCACGAAATAGCTTACTATAATTCCAGCACCAGCCCTTATAATCCCTTCAGTACTTTCAAAGGCCATTGATTTCAAGTCAAATACGCCCGCCTTGGCGCCAGCATGTATCATAGCATACTCACCGCTAACTTGGTAAGCAGCAATCGGAATGTCTTTGGCGAGTTCTTTTGCGTCTCTGATAATGTCCAGGTAGCTGCTCGCCGGCTTTACCATTATGATATCTGCCCCTTCGCCTATGTCCCTCTGTATAGCGCGCCGAGCGAGTCCACGGCCTCCCGGTGGTAACTGGTAGCATCTGCGATCCCCAAATGATGGGCAGGAGCCCGCTGCATCACGAAAAGGGCCGTACAGACAACCACTAAATTTGGCGCTGTAGGACATCAACAGGACACGGTGGGCTATCCCGGCCTCAATAAGCTTCAGTTTGATAGCACGCACTCGCCCATCATTCATATCAGACGGAGCGACACAATGAGCTCCGGCAGCGGCATAAGCCAGAGCAACATCCGAGATCCGATCCACGGACTGCGTGTTGTCAAGAGTCCCATCTTCTCGCAGTATCCCACAGTGGCCATGAGAAGTATACTCGCAAATGCAAACATCTGTAACAATATAAAGTTGAGGAAACCGCGACCTAAGCAGGCGAATAGCTTGAATTACTGGTCCAGATGGGTCGTCTGCAGCGGTACCTAGTGCATCCTTCGCAGAGGGGTGTAGTGGGACGCCAAACAGCATGACTGACCGTAGCCCCTTGTGGACAAGTGGCTTGATGAAAGGAACTAGACGATTTATTCCTCGACGATACTGGCCAGGAAGAGACGGAATAGGAGTCTCCTCGTCGGGATTGTCGGTGATGAAGAGAGGATAAATAAGCATTTCCTATCTCGGGGTTAGAGAAGCTCAGTAAATATGAAAGAAAATGCTGACCTTGGTCAGCTGTTTTTCAGCCTGCCATGATCTACTCAGTGGATGGCTGTAACCGGAATGAAGCTGACTGGAGATGTCACCAGATATGCTGACGCTTGTGGCAGCTGTGCTTGTATACGATCGTGCGGTGGCTTGCGATCGTACATGGGATATCTGAGAACTTCGGTCATCGTGAGTGTCTCTGAACGCGAGATCAGAGACGAGGTTAGAGAAGGACATGATGTCAGGAGCGGCAAGCAATATGGGTGCTAGGGAAGATAGTGACGCGGTTGAGGGAAGAAAAGGGGAATAGCGTTTGTGCTTGTCCTACGCCACTGGCAGAATACGACTTCACAGGACAATGATATATATGGTCAGCGATCCAGGTCAATGCACTTGTTGCAATGTTCGAGTCCAATGAGTAAATGAATATAGGACAACGTTAGGGGCGTTATATCTAGCAACGTATGTAGTGATGGGGCGCTTTTCGAGGGTCAGGAAATATGAGATATGTACGAACGGAGATTGGCTGGTGGCTGAGAAATATTCAGGCCTTGAGTTAATAACCGAGGATACCATAACGTAACTTGTAAACGACCCGCCACTGCAAACGACCCGCCATCGTCTGTTTCCCATATTAAACAGCATATTTTTAAGCAATAATATCTCAGCCATTATTAGATATATCAATCTATAACCAAGGTATTATATTAATATTAGTATTCTTTTCTATATAAATTAAATTTAAGTAAAAAAGAGGTCTGAAATATATAAATTCTAACTATATATTATAAAATATACTATATTCGATCTTATCTTAGTAATAAAACTGTAAAAAGATTTTAACTATATATATATTATTAATCTACTATAGAATAAGTTATTTATTAATTTTTAAGTAGAGATAAATTGAATTGGTTGAGATATTGTTATTCAAAAATATGCTGTTTACTAGTAAATGGAAAACAGAAGATGGCGGGTCGTTTGCAGTGGCGGGTCGTTTGCAGTGGCGGGTCGTTTACCGAATAAGTTAATCTGTCTGTGGCTAGATTTGTAGGGCGACTACGGAGGGTTACCATTGGTCCGGGGTTGGTGCCGTTCTCCGACCTACATTAGCCGTCTCTTAGGTCAGCAGACCCACCCGCCATTCGGTGTACTGGTCTGTCTCATCGCAATACAAATTCCTACTTTAATACAAAATTTGAAGCTATTCAAGCTTTTATATAATATTATCTTAAGTATCGATTTAATAAAGTAATTTAGGATCTTTTTTATCTATTTAACTAGTCTCTATATGAGACAAATTTTCTATATCTTTCTATTAGGTATATGATATTAACTTATCTTTTAACAAGACTAATATCTTTATAATTATTAAAAAATAATTATAATTTATTAAAATATAAAAAGATAAAATTTTAAACTGTTTTCTTTTTTATAATATCTTTTTAAATTATTAATAATAATATTTAAATTATCTATATTATTATTAGACTAAGATAGAGTGGCATAACTGTTACACCCGGGGCTTTGTCATCGAATCTGAGACCAGTTAACGTATTCGGTAAACAACCCGCCACCTCACACATTTTCAACACACCTTAATTTCTTAGATAATTAAAACACCAGCTATACCACCAAAAATATCTAAATTATCAAAATTATATATTAAATAGAAAGATAGAATCCTACTAGCTATATTAGCTATAAAAAGTAATAAAATCAGTACTATAAAAAAATAGCTAAGATTTTTAATATATCTTGTTCTATATTATATAATTATCTAAAAAAAGTCTCTTTTAAAAGCAAGTAATATACTAATAGTTATAAATTAACTACTAATAAAGAGAAATTATTTAAGAAATAGATTCTATTATTAAATAAATATAGAGTATCACCTCAGTCTATATATATATAAGAAATAATTAATATCTTACTTTTAATTTGTAATACTACTTCTCTCTCTATTACTGTAGAGAAGAAATAAATATATAACTTTATTAGATATATATCTGAGTTTAAATTCTGCTTTGTATATTACTATAACTATTAGTATACTAAAATAGAGAATCTTAAAATTCTAGATACTTAGTTTAAGTAGATAAATAAAACTATTTAAAAATATAATATAGCTTTAAATA